GAGAAACACAAGCTGATCTAAAAAGAAATGGAGAGAGCTGTGTTTGGGTCACTGAATACCTCTGTGTTTACACTGAGCCTAGAGTGGGATTGACGCTTCGATCCCCGCCTCCTCCTGGGAGTTTTTCCACTGTGACATGTGCGATGGGGAAATTTAATCCCCAGCAGATCTCCCAAACAGGAATTTTCACTTCTTCTCTTTATAATCCCATAACCCCCAGTGCCTTAAAACCACCATGCATGTGTGTGAGCGTGCATGTGTGTGTGACAGGTCTAAATCTTCTCCAAACAGCAAATCAGTACAGCCTACTGCTCAGCATAAGCGCTAAACAATGAAGAGCAGGCACCCAGCCAATCAGCACGAGGCTGAGCAATGATGGGACATGCTGTTGTATGACTTCTCAGGTGAATCACACAAAGGCCTCTGAATATTTACTGAATAGAGATGGAAAGCACCTCCACCGCTGCTCTTGGCTGGCATGTATGAAATGCTTACACAAAGTAAACACTTTGCAGATGCCCCGTTTAATGTGAACACTTTATTATAGTCCTCCTGCAAAGAGCCCGCACACAGGGATCATTCATCTGAGATCATTTCAGTCAGTCTGTACTAACAAAGGTGGGCATGCTAAAACAAACTACAACAGAGCATGTACATTTTTACAAGGTTGGTGTTAAACTTATTATTTCACAGACACTCAAAAATCAAACTGTATTTGAACCAGAACCACAAAATGTCTTTATATCTCCTTCTCTGTTCCCCTGAAACTTTTCCCTAACAACCAGCGATTGCACTGTTTTCGAGCACACATTGGTTTGCACTCCATCTCTACCATACTTGTTTATTTGCAGAGAACATAAGTAGTAACACTGCACTGTAATCAAACTGAGAGGAGTTGAATTTTCTGCACACAGCCATAAATCTCAGGTCAGGAACCTGAAAAAGAAAACTGTGATTTGGCAGCAAAGCAAGCAAACCCCGTCCTGCACATCTGCCCGGACTGGCAAAAGCTAACACACCAGCTGAGCAGTGGAGGAAACACTCACTTGGACCACAGAGGATGCCAAAGGTAAGCTCTATAATATTTCAGTCTGTGCAGCAGGTTGGATTAAGCTGTTACTGTCCTTATTTATTTCCCTTCAGGTTAACTCTGAAAGAACAGCAGGCGTTATGGTGACAGACAACCGACAGATCAGGCAGCAAGATGGCTGAGAGGAAATGAGGTGGAAAACAGGCTGTTTACCTCACACAAACACACACACACCTACACATTTTACTGGCTAACTACTGCTACCTTCACCCATCATCATAAAGCCTAAGAATTACCAAAACATAAGAGAGGGCTTTCGATTACAGCCTTTCTAGAGAGATGCTGTTTAAATCCAACGACTACAGTGAGCTTAAAAACATGTCACCCACCTGTTCCAGGAAGTGGAGATTACACAGCGGGCTGAGAAAATAGGTATGTTGTTGTTTCAGAGGAATGGTTGCTGACAGGAGACCCTCTGAATTTAATAACATGCTGTTAAATGTAACACACAGGGTTTAAAAACACTGTTATTGTGATTAAAACACTGTTAACTGTTATCATACGTGTAAGAAAGAACTTCCCCAGTTTAAAGCTCCAAGAAGGAAATTTTTGGCATTTATGAAATGGACCGAATTTTATTTTGATGCCTTTTAATGATAAATAAAAGCATTAGTGACATATCTTATTTTAAAATTCCTATTGCCTGAAGCCCCCTTTTTAAATTTTCAACATAATATACTCACAATAAATGGTATATTAAACTGTCAGAAGTCAGCAAGGTATGATTTGTCATCAGAAGACACAACTTAAGCATGTATAGAGATAAGCAAAGACTGTTTTGTCCACAGCGGTGAAATTTACACAAGACAAAAGTGCCTCATAGGAGCTCTGAATCGTCCTTTTACAAGTGCATTAAAAAGTTATATAAAAACTGGCAACAGAAAGCTGAATAAAAACTTATACAGTATTATAATTGAAATTGATTGTGTTTGAAACAGCCTGGAAATAAAGGAGGGATGAACCTGTGATGTTGGAGTATGTCTTCAAATAAGGCCAGAGATAGAGAATACCACACTTAACCCTGCCTCCACATATACAGAGTTTGGTATTTGGGATGAATAGCAGGGCAGCACCTGAAAACAGAGGTCCCTGGACAGGGTGTGAAGGTGGGGAAGGTCAAGGAGGTACTGAATGCTTGGGGCATGGAGGGATTTGTAGATGAGAAGCAGTATTCTGTAACTGATGCAGGATTATATTGGGAGCCACAGGACATGGATAAGATCACTGAACATCAACGAGTAATCAAAACTATCGTGGAATAACTGCACAAAGTAAAAATAACTGTGCTGCAGAGAGTAATCACTTTGAAATCGTCTCCTATCGCTATTAATATTGCATCTAGTTTATTCTTGTGCATTTGGCAGTCGTTAAGATATAAGGAGGGATTAACATCATGGTGAGTGTTTGCCAAATCTGACTGAACACACCCCTCTCACCCAAAAAACATATTCTGTTCGTTTTCACAAGCAGACACACATCTGTGCAAACATCTGTGCACATATTTTCACGAACACACACAGATGACACCAACATAAACCTTTTCACCCGGATCTCTTTGTGTCAGTCAGGCCTTTTCTGCACTGATCAATGAAACAATTAATATGTTGAGGAAGGATTAGGAGGCTTTCAAGGCAAAAACAACATCTCCCACAGTGCCTCAGTGCCTGTTGTAGAGGAATGCCAACCTGCCATTAGCAGGAGATTACCTGTAATCTCTTATTACTTAAAACAGGGTGGAGAGGCATTCATGCGAGACATCTTCAAAAATCAAACTGTGCTGTCAGCCGGGCTTAAGACTTAGTGATACACAGACTCATATTTGCAGAGAAACATGCCTGCATTTGTACCACAGCCTGCTCAGCACACAGAGCCTAAAAACAACCACACAGACATGGTTTTCAGCTCAGACTTTAGTGTCAACACGACTCAAACTGAACTCCTGTTGTCTTTTGGGATAATAGCAGTCTCTCGCTGAGGGATCAGCCCATAAAGACCTTACGATCATCAAAGTGTTAAAACAGTATTTATGCAAACACGGAGAACTGCATGGCAAAGTTTACAGCACAAATCCGAGCACATTTGTCAGCAGGAGCGACCCGCCAACTGTGCCACAAAACAGACGCAGGAGACATGTAAAGACAGAGCAGTGGTGTACAGGAAAATAATGCTGCGTGAGCGACATTACCCTTCTCTCTCTCTCTCTCTCTCCTGGATAATTGCTGTTTTGTCTTGACTGCATGCACTGTTATTTATTTGTACAGGAACTGAGACAGTTTCCCTCGGGGCAGGAGATGTTTTTCAGCTAGGAGTGTTCTTGGTGTTGTACAAAATAGCACACATGACAAAAACACATATTTTTGATAGCTTCTAGTAAAATCTAAATGTCACCAAAATATCAAAAGCTGAACCTGACATTTTCAGACCTTTTAGCTATACAGGAGGGATAAGCACTGTCTCCTGCAAAGCCAGACACATTTTTTTAGATATATATGAGGCAACAAACATCAGCCAAAGTTAGGGAGATCACGTCAAAATCTTACTCTGCTAATTCACAAGGAAATGAGAGGGCTGAGCATGAAAGGAGGCAGAGGAGGAGAAAGGAAGAGGCGTAGTTGTTGGAGACAGGTCTGTCATAAATTAGACTATCCCAACAAGCATTTTAAACAGTTGATATGACAGTCATAAATAACAGTGTAAACCTATGAAGCCACAAAAGGAAAGATGAGATCATGTCTGCAGCCTTGCCATCTTGTTTGTTGTGGAATCTGATATTTTTTGTGGCCGCAAAAAAACAGAGTTTCTAAACCTGTTTCAAGATCTGCACTCATCATGCACTCACGATGTGCTTTTTGAGAAATGAGCCACTTTACCTCGCATGTATCAGTGCTCTGATATGTGTTTGACCTTCCTCTCTGCAGGCCAGATGTCAGCTTCAGCTCCCAAATAGTGAGTGCACTATTGGGTGGTGTCCATAAGACCAGCACAAGCCTGCATGGGGAAGCGGGTGTCTCTGACATGCAGGGCAGGAATTTGTGACAGGCATCTCCCCAAACAAACGTCAGGGGGAGTGAGGATGAACAGGACCACAGATGAAAGGGCCGATGTGGCTGGGAGCATAGTTCAATGTCCTCCCATCAGTCCCCAAATATTTCAGCTCCTCACAGGTTCCAGGAATGAAACAAACCCCTGTGACACAATGTGTGTGTGTGTGTGTGTGTGTGTGTCTGTTTGTAAGAATACCTGCAAAAGTTTGGTATATTTCTATGAGAAGCATCTGCACAACATTTGGAAAAATTCAGCATTTCTTTGTGCACAACTGGGACTAGATGGGTCTACTTTTTGTGGACACTCTGTATGATTGAGAAAAAGAGTGAACAATGAAGTAATCCATTTTACGTGTTTGTAAAAGGATAAAAATGTCTTTTGTCTTCATGAGGTTAGTATAGGTGTTGGTATAGAAAAGACCCTGAATCAGATAAATACTGGAAACCCGAGTAGACTGAAGGTAGGTTGAAAGAGGTTTGCATGCGTCTACACTAAAAACAAGGTGCAGAAGTTTGGTAGGATGATTGGTTGTGGAGGTCATGATAGAGCATGTTTGGATTAATACTAATTGACACCTTTAATTTGTTTAAACATAGCTATGTTCAGCTCAGAGAAGCTAAATCAGAGGAAATAAGTAAATATGCTTATATTTGTAAGGCTGAATTTGAAAATAATCGGTTTAACATTAAATACGGTTAAATAAGGACAAAGTAAATCGTTTGTGACAACCCTGGCAAATAACCAATAAACTTTCTCCTCTGGCTTATCAATCATCTAAACCCCGCCCCCTCACTGTCAATCAACTGGTCACGTTAATGAATGAGAGTTGAAGTTAAGAGTGCCAGGCTGAGCTGAGCACAAGACTGTGACCTCAGCGGTAAGAAACTAAACAATGAAACACATCCCAAGTGAAAATTGCGTTTTTATGTGTTCATTTTTGTTTTATGATACTTATTAAAACCCTAGAGTGGACAAAAATAGCAAGAACATCGTCTAATGTCGGCGTGTGGTCTGAGGCCTGTTGACCCCCTTCATACTAATGTGTTCACTCAGGTGAGTTAGCTAACGGTAGCACGAAGCTAACAAGCGGACGTTAGCTGATGAGTAAACATATTTAACACTTGTCTGGTGTATCAGAGAAACTCCTATTAAAGTGTTAAGGTTCTTTTCTGCACTATTATTATGTTAATTGCTACAGCCAGTCTATACTATATAAAAATATGTGTTTAACTTTAAAAAGGTGCATCAGTGACAAACACACAACTGGTTTAAAGAGTACTTTTATCTTGGCTTTGTTCACAGATCAGGCTTTTTGATGGAGTCGGAGCCTTTTAAGATGGAGCAAGTCTGGTTGAGATCCCTGTACCCACAGAGGAGGATTTACAGCCCAGAGAGGTTTTCAGAGTTTCCAGAGAGAGACTTCTCTTGGACTGGATGAAGAGGTGAACCAGAAGAGATACAAGGTAGGACTGAATTGTTTACACAAATGCACACGCTCAGTACTAGAGATGTCAAACCAGACTTTATTCATACTATTCCTGCAATGGAACAGTAATAATAAATGATACCTACAAAGTACTTAAGATTTTTATTGCATTATTTTGTCATACAAAGCATTAAAGCACCTGTAACTTCCATATGAGCCTTGTTGCGGTCGTGGTAAAGTGGTAGAGTTGTGGTCTCTCTATTAAATGTTGGGGTTTCTGTTCCAATCTTGCTGTCCCCATGTTAAGGTGTCCTTGTCCTTGATGTGTCAGTTTACCGCAGGCGCTGGAGATGAAGAGAGATGGATAAATTATAGTAAATGCTTACAGGACAGAAGTTACCTGACTTTTACTCAGATATGTAAGGTGTGTAGATCTCTTGCTGATTGGATGAGTGTTGTGTTCTGTAGCTGGCAATAGCTCTTGGTGGATAAACAACAATGTAGTAGAGTCTTTATTCAGGGTAAGAGTCTTTGAAGGACCTGGCCTCCTAAGTATTCACCTATGATGCCTCCCCTAAAGAAGTGAGGCTGTACTGAGTCTGTCTTTTTAACCGTTTGTAAGTTGGTGTTCCTTTGAGTTGAAACCAGGAACTTGTTTTGGGCACTCTTTGCATCTAAGGGAAGCAGGTTGCAGTTAATGGACACATTTTGAAGAGCTGTCAGAATGAGACAGCCTTTGACATGCTGTTGCTATGACACCATCTTTCTCTGATTCCTCCTTTAAAGGATGAAACCCTTAAATAGGGAAACATCTGTTGTTTTTTTGTTTTGCTTGTTTTAAATGATGGTGTATTTGCTGAAGATAGATATGAAGTGTCACAAAAACAATTCATATGACTCTCAATGTACAGTATCCTAAGTGTTGGTCATGTAGGCATGAGGCTGCACATTTTCCCACCAACAGCCCAGTTTGCCTGCAGTGATTATACCCCAGGCTAATGTATTGATGACTCACCAATGTAAAAATGCTTATGTAGCACTTTTAATCCAAAGTGCTGTTGCAGCTCACTGAGAAACTAGATCCTTGTCTGACTCTATATTCAGCAAGTGTCGTAGCACTTATGATTACTAAACAATAGCCCTCATAAATCACAAAAGGTTAAATTTGGGTAATATTCATTAATAGAGCGCCACTCTGCTTGGCTTGTTTAGGTTTCCTGCATGATTCATCAAAATAACAGCTGTTTGGTTAATGGTTTAAATTGGATAATCAGTCATATCACTTTGCCACGCCTCTGTTGACATTAAAGTCTCGATGGGGCAATTTTTCAGCTTGATGATTAATTTCGTCATGCAGACAAATTAGGAGAACTTTCTTAAATTTGTAACTCTTATTGAAAACGACTGCACTTTATTGCACAATGGATCTGATCTTGATGCATATGCACCTCATACCATTTGTTATCCAGAGAAAACGGGAAAGGTTCCACTGTAAATATGGATTGCAGGTCTTATTTTTCATAATTGGAGTCAAGTTGATGTTTGGAGTTTGAGAGAGACCACCTGGGCAAGACGTTTATAATCAGAGAAAAGGTTTCCCAACCCAGTGCACAACTAATATTTCAAATCTCCCAACCCCGAACATGCTCTGTGCCAGGATATCAAAGCAGCAATAACTCATATGTAGAAAGGGATGTGAGAACTTCCACATGGCCTTAGGGCTCTAAGTAGAGGAGTTGCCTTTCCCTAAATGTCAACAAGCCGTGTATGTATGTGAAAGAAAGACAAACAGAGAGGAAAAGATGCTGGAAAATTTCTTCAGGAGAAATTTGGAAGTGAGGGAAGTCAAAGGTTTCTCCAAGATTCCTCAAAATATTGGATCAAAATTTTGGAACTTTTAATAGGATAAACTTCAAGAATGTTCTCACATATTAAGGCCCTGGAACCTGGGTTAACATCATTTATACTGCCACCCTCGAGAGAGAGCCCTGCATTCAAGTTACAGACCAGTTTAGCAACCAGACTCTCTTACTACAGCCATGCTGTTATTTGGCAGTGCTTTGCTCTAACATGTAAGGTCTTCCCTGATGAAGACATGATCTGGATGGCAGCATTTGTTGTCATTACATGTGTCTATAATCTTAAAGAGAAATTTTGTCTTTATATATGTGTAAACAACCCACAGGCATTTTTACATCCTCATAGCATCACAGAGACAGGCCTCTGAACCGTGTTCTGATAACAAGCTTGTGTGTCCCTCTCCTCTTTAGAGTGAAGGAAGAGGTGTCTATGGTTTCCAAAAAGAATTAAGTTTTAATTCAAATCACAGACCCAGAGACCCAGAGAAGTTTATGTGTCTCTGGATCATGGCATATCTACAAACCGTGGATTTGGAAACTGTGATTTTGAGCCCGTTCTGTGAGTCCCACTATAGCCATGTCTGATTTTAATGTGTTGCTGTTTAGGGGCTGACAACCATGGCCACCCGGTATTAGTTCATGGTCTTGTTCCTTTTTGTGCAGAGATTTCTTCAGATTCTTTGAATCTCTTTATGATATTTCTCTGAAATTGTTTTCTCAAACAGTCTCTCACAGAGTAGTGAACCTGTTCCCATTCTGACTTCTAAGAAACTCAACCTCCTATTAAATGCTCTTTTCACACCCATTCATGTAACCAACCTGTTGTATCTGTACTCTAGTGTTTGAGTCATTGTTCAGTTTCAAATATGCTCTGGTAAAAAAAGGGCAAATTAAGCAAACAGCTAAAATGCCTCAAGTAATCCGAAATGAAATGGTCTGAAAAAAAGATGAGCGAAACCCTTTTTGGCGTGTTTCCATCACACAAAAGACTTGAGCGTAGAAAAACACGTGTCCTTTTTCCTCAGCCATGTAGTGGGTATGATAGTTCATCAAGCAGACAAGTGAAAACACAGAGAGGTGTGTGTTTCCTCGCACTGCCTGAAGCTTTAAGTTTGACCTTCTCCCTCTCACCTTCTCCGTCTCTCTCCTCTGCCCCGGGGCACCGCCGAGTGGGCCTATGGGAGGAGCAGGCGAGGGGGCCCCTGGCATCACCCATACCTAGACTCCAAAAAAGAAACAAAAATCTTAAAGGATGATGGCTAGCCTTGACGTGGTTGAGACAGTGTTCGGGTGAGGAGAAATGAGGTAAATATCAATGGCGGTGGTCTCACATAGCCCATTAGTCAATGTCTGCAGTCGCTGTCTGAGTATCAGCACAGAGCAGCCGCAGGGTTCACACCACCTCCACTGTCCTCCCCAAGAATCGTACCCAGGCGAAAATAAAGCAACCCGAGCTGGGCATAAATCATTAGGAACATTTGTTACCTCGGGTAATTGTGCTTCATTCATCTTCAGGCCTTTTTTCCATTTGTCAACTCCCAAAGGTTGCTGGGTGTCAGCTGTGCAGGTCTGTGCTGTAGGTTAGCATGATGGGGCCTAACCAGAGCCACAGCAGAGGAGGTCTGCAGGAAGCATGATACATGACACAGGAGAGTAGAAGAAACTAGGCCACTATGCAGACCCCTCTGTGCAGACTGTGATGCAAATGTTGGTCTGCTGATGCATCTTTGAAAGTGTACCTGTAGGATCAGCTCAGTGACACACGTTGGACTTATGTGAATTTTGTTATACTGAGAAACTTTTCATTCAACTTTTTGATAACTTTATATACAGTATGTAAAATGTCAGGGTTTGTCTCTATGTAGCAAGCTAAGAAAGGATTAGGATGGGTTACTAATATAAACACAAGACATATCTTTGTGGTTCAGAAGTAGAGTGGTTCAGTCAGGAGCCTTTCCTGGTCATCTTGGCAAAGAAACAGAACCTTATTGTTTCTAAAGGCACGGTCTTAGGTGGATCAGTCCCTGTGAATGGTTGAAAGGCACCAGCAATGTTGATTTTGGCATGAAATTTAGTTTTAGGACAGCTATTTTCATAAAACTCAGGCTGATTTGAGTCATATTGTTTTCTTTGTATTGTTTGTTTTTGTGCTTCAGTTGTTTTGACATTCAAAGTGTGTTTCCTCCCATTTTACATCCAAAAAACACTCTTTTGTAATCGGGGATGATGCACTCAGTTACTTCATCTTCCTTCCTTCATACTGTACTGGTAGTAGGTTGTAGGATGACATCTGTCAGCAGTAGCTTTGTTAGGCTTTTTATAAGATGGCTAATAGCCAGTTAGTTCTGGCTTACCACCAGAAACTGTAAATAGACTTCTTACCAACATACTGGGCAAAAAAATCATCCAACGACAATGAAGGAGATAAATCGGAGGTAGTTGGAATTTGTACTAGTGCACCTGCTGCAGATAAGTGATGGTTTAGAAGGAAAACAAACAGTGATGTGGCTTTTCCTTGCTGACTTTATCATTGTACGTCAGAGCAGTAATGAACAGTGCTTGTGCCATTTTTAAAATTGTAAATATGCTTGGTCATGATAATCATAAAGTTAATAAATACCACAACTATCCCCCTTGAGCTGCTTCACTTTTAGCAAGTAATTACCCACCCTGTTCTTCCTCTTAAACACACAGAGAGTGCTCTGTTGTCTATGAATATCATTACAGAATACCAAAAATGCCTTTTGATATGAAGCTGGCGAGAAAAGCAGTTCAGCCAATTTGTGGCTAAACACACCCTGAAACGCAGACAGAGGAACAGCAGACCGAGCTCAGGCTGGGGGTGTGTTCAAATGTGCATTGTGATCCACTCTTTAGGAAGGCATCTATTAACACCAGTTGTAACCTTGCTGCCTTGAAACCTGTCTTCAGCTGTTAGCACCCTGCCACCTCCATTCACCTCAGTGACACACACGCGTCTTTCACACATCATCCTCTGGAACACACACACACACACACTCACACTTACACACTCACACACTTTGATTTATGTACAGATATAAAAGCACCAAGAGCACTCTCTCTAACAAAAGGCAATCTCGGCTCTCTTGATGTTCCTGTGGGTTTTTCCCTTTGAAATACTCCACTGCACCAGTTTTCACAACTAAGTAACACAGCAGGACAATGAGACACCATATAAAGAAAAAGAGGATCATGAATAAAGGAGAAGCAGGGAAGGAGAAAACCTTGAAGAAGATCCATAAAATGAGGGAGTGTTAGATATAGTACACCATCCCCTCCAAATGATACATGAATTTCTGATATATCTCAACCAGTCTGAATAATTTATGTGAGCAATGATTTGAAGTCTGAAGGACCACATCCAGGAAGAAATTTTACATGAAGACAAATTGACAAGAGTGAAACTAAGCGCACTGCAATGTGCTGCTGTCAGTCAAAGCTGAAATAAATTTGAGAAAATTCAATAACTGTAGGTCAGCAGTGCTGCAATATTACATTTAACACCAGCAAAAGATGGCTGTGCTCTAAGCAGTCTCAAATCAGCTAAACGTTATAATGTTCAAACAGTGTTTTTGTATCAAAACAGTATCTTTAAATTTGAGCTCATTACTCTTGTTAGGCCTGAAATCAATTAATAGATCAATCAGTTAGTTTTTATTGATATAGTACCAAATCATAACTATTATTGTGTCAAGATGCTTTCCAAGAGAGCAGACCATACTTTTTGTCTGATCATAGATCACATGACCACTCTGAGTACACAACCAGGCCTCGACATTCCCTCATTATATAAAGTGATTAGCTAATAACAGCAATATAAGATTCAATAATTGCTGACACATGTAAGGTCGCTATCATCCGGGATAAAACATGCAAGCTATCTGCTGCAAATCTGGGCTACAGGGGCGTGTCTAGACTGTTGTTTGGGTGGCTCTGTTGTGGCATTGCCAAAGCAATCGAGACCAGGGTGCTGTGTGCACACCAAATTTACTCCCTTTTTCTCCTTTTTTCCTTCACTGTCTGCTTGAACAACCTTTTTTACAGATAACTTGATAACTGATACATCCTCGTGCACATCCTCTAAGCTTAGTTCTTTAAGGACCTGAAAAAAGTTTGACCAAAGTCACATTTGAAGATGCTTATAAAAGAAAATGTGCATCAAATACAAAGAAAGTTGCAGCCAGCTTGCTAATTGAGTAGTTTACTTAACCACCATAACCACCTCTGATGAGTCATATAGCCAATCATATCTTAGGGTTTTGGTGTAGTACCTGGAATGGCTAATTAAATCACAGAGAAGGGGGCAGTGGCACCACTGGGTAGCCTTCGGGACATACCCCAGTGATATTGTCTATTTTTGTCTAAAATAGTGAAATGATGGCAGTGTGAGGGATTATGGAGGATAATCAAATGTAGGGGGTTCAATCCCACATGCCTAAATGTTCTTGGGCATGACCCTTCACCCCAACCAGGCAAAAATACCTCTGCCTTTTGTGTGTTTATGTGGAGTGAACAGTTGAATGTGACGTGTATTATAAAAGTGCTTTGAGAAAACTTCAGGAAGCAGAAATTGACAAAAGCTTTAGTCAGAAAATTTGAGATGTGTGATGAAGAGAAACAGAGAGAGGGGGATACATCCAGGGAGGTTTTTTTTTAGCTCATCTGAGAGCTGCACGAATGGCTGGGTGGCTGCTGCTGACAGGTGAGGATGTCTTTAATCAACAGCTGCTAGGAAGCTACTGAAGATATGAGGACAGATAACACAGGCAGGCTGCACAAACGACCAGGGAAAAGAGAGAGAGAGAGAGAGAGAAAAACCACAGACAAAGGTGTGCGAACAGCCACAGCCACATTCTCAGCCTGCAAACACCCTGTCACCACTTCCAGTCTCACCTCCTCCCACACACACTTATCTCCCCAAAATCTGAAGGAGGCGGATGCTCTGAAGATCTAGACACCACCCGCTCCAACATAATTAGCAGAAGACGTGCAGCCAGCCGTTGCCCGAGCTCACTAACACTCGTTTGGTCCCAAAACAAACACACTAGTGATCTAGAACAAACAAAGATAATGCCCTCCAGCCTCTTCTCAGGAACTTGTCACACAGTCCCGACCGCTTGGTAAAGGAATTTTATTATTGAGTTGGATCAAATGGATACAAGATGACACACAAACAACAGACAAATGCAAGCATGCATACCTCACCGATGTTATTAATTCATACATGATTATTGTTTTGTTTCCTGGTATCTCATTCTTTAAGATGGGGCGTATAGGTGATGCAAGACAAAGCTTTCTGTCATCCGGCCATATGAGCACCTATCCAAGCTGGCCGCAGTACAGATAACAGGCGCAACTGCAATACCAGTCCCCAGGGAAACAGCTTTATTTTGGCGCACAGGTAGCAGAGGGAGGGAGAAGCTGCGGGTCAGCATCCTGCTTCTAAACCTGGAAGAGGAAACTAATCCGAGGTCAAGGAGGGCCATGGCGTTGAGTGAAACTTCACATGAGGATGGAGTATTTAAAGTGTACTCCCCTCTCCCTGACTCCGCCGTCTTCATTATAACTCTGCACCTGGGCCGAACACTGATCCATGGGGAACTCCCTCATGGCCACAGCCAGTCAGGCCCCTAAATCTGTCCCCAGCCCCTCATTCACTTCCCACTTATCCCTCCTTCCTCCCGTACTCTTCCTTCTCTGCAGCGTTGGGTCAAGCTCAGAGCAACAATACTGAGCCGGTGAGGACAGGAAAGGGATGAGGTGGGATTAGGGAGATAAGTGAGGGTCGAAATAGCCTTGGAAAAATGATAACTCTGGTCCCTGTTTGTTACTCTCACAATCAATAATGGGACGTAATCAGAGACATTTTCAACACTTCTCCTGGGTTTCAGGATCCCAGTTGCCCGTTGTCATCCGGTGTTGAGAGGGTGACATGGGCCTGGACCCAGCTAGCACCTGCCAACAAGCTTCTGTGGGTGTCCATCTCACACACAGACGTGACACAGTTCTCAGACTTTGAGACAAAACTGCGAGTCCTTAAAGACATGGAATAGAAAACGTTCATGGCTGCCCCTCTGTGTTTAAGTAATGGCGTTTTGTCGTACATGTCTGTAATGAAAAGCTGTGCGGTATCTGACCCTGTTCACTCTCAGGCTGCAGAACTAAAAACCTATTTGTCTGTTGAAACCTAAAGGTTGCCCTGCAGACTTTTCCTGTAAACAAACAGAGTTGCTGTTTACATATAGTGTTTCTCACCAAAACACATTGTGTGTGTTCTTAACAAATTTGTGTAATGCATTTCCTCTGGCAGAAAAACATTTGCAGAGCTGAATTTTTTTAAAGTGGGAAGCCTGCGTGGTTTAAAACCCTTCAGACTGTCTTCACTAAAAAATAAGAGTGAAAGACTGTATTTCTTGGTTATCACTGAAACAGTGATGTTTTTGGCAGAAATGTGTGTCTCATTATTTTAATGTGTTTGCCCAAAGCAGCAGCAAAATTTAAAGATTAAAATCAGTGCATATTACGAAAACCTGCAGGTCTTAAAATGTCCAAACAGCCTCTATCTCTATTCGTTTACACTGTGGGGGTGGTGAATCCTTCATAACTCGCTTGTTTATTAGATATTAAGGCATGAAGAGGATAATAAGGAGCACAGCTAGCTTGACTGGCAGTTTGGCAAACTACAGCTGTTTCTCGAAGGCTATAGGCCCACCGCAACTCTGCCCCCTCCACTCTTGCTAAGTTGACAAAAGTTTGAATTGGCATTTGCAATAATGCAACTGCCATGTCTGAACTTCTAAACTCTGCTTTCGGAGCTTATGGTGATGTCATAGAAACCACTCTCATGTTTTAAACAGTCTGTGGTTTGTAAATGGGGCTAAATAAATGACTAGTAACTGAAAAAAAAACTCTGTATATCTGCGTCTGTTCAAAAACTTTACAGTTTACGTCTGTTATGAATGCATTTGACTGTCGTGTATGAGATATAGGAATTTTCTGTATTAGTATCTGCTGACATTGTATGTTAATTGTTTCAGTAAATAAAGCATAATAGTTTTTTGAGATGGAATTGATTTCTAGGTATAGCTTTTATTAAAGTAATCATTTCAACTAGTAAGGGATAATGTATAGTGAGCGGGTTGTTATGTGAATTGAAAGTCCAGCAGAAAAAGCAGAGTCTCAGATGAAAAGCAGAGAGGTCTCGTTGCACCTTATTGATTTAAAAATGATTTATTTATACAGCCAAAGTTTCCTGGTCTGTCATTTTTCCCTTGTTTTTTTCTCTAATACAACTTTTGCACTCTTTGCTTGCATGAAAATATTGGACTGACAAATCTAATATCCAGATGAGCCTGAGGCGTGGGTATTTATTATGAAGCATTACAAACAGCTCGTGATTATTTGTGCTACGGTGGTGTGATGAATATTGTTTAACTGCCTTTTTATAAGTATGTCTGCAGGCCCGTGCCATATGTTGTGCCAGAGTGTTTACACCGAGAGCTATTCCCACTGAGTCACTCTCCTCAGCCAGCCAGGCCAGCAGTGGCGTCATGCAGCTGCTCCAGCCTCAGCCCCGGTCTGGATCTGTGTTATTGTTTCTGGGAGCATTACCACGCTTAAGTGCGACAACATAATTTGTAACAATAAGAAGAAATTTGCCCGATGCCATCTGTGCACGGCATGTACCTATAGCGCTGTGAGCAGAGAGAAAGTGACACATACACACATGCACATTCAGAGGGAGAACAAGGCTGCACCTAAAACACACGCTAGACCAACGTCTCACTACAGTTTGTCTTCCAAACACAGGCAGGCTCAGATTTCAGGTCCTCTGGTCTCCAAAATATATATCGAAGTACACATCAGGCTGTGTGTCACCGCTGTTTACAGGAAAGTGATTTATGAGGCTTTTTGGGGAGAGTAGAGAAGGCTGATATGGGCTGAATATGTTTCAGAGTGAGGCTGAGAGGAAGTCAAGCTACTGTGGTTATTGAATAATCACCCGAAAAGTCATTAATGAGGTTATTTATCCGAGAGAAAAACTTGAGACAGCTACGATTTTTGTGTCAATCAAGATACACAAACATGTCAAAGAGCCATTAGTGAATTAGTCTCAGCAGTTACATTTTTCTCTAGTGGTTTTTGGCTTGTGAAACCTCCTATAATGCTTGAGTAAATGCCAGGCATAACTGCATGTGTGTAAGATAAACATAGTATGCATTTTGTCAAATATAGCAACCCTACCAGACAGTGGAAGATCTATGTTCCTCTGCACTGCCTTTTTATGACAGGCCCTTTGTGTTGGACTCTACACACGACAACTAGTCCAACTGGTACAGCTCCATTTTTATTTAGACTTAACGCTTGAATCCATGCGTGTGTGCGGAGCAGGTTTGAATCCTTGCACATGCAGTACACAGTGTGACATTGCACACATGCATACTTCACAGGCCCCCCAACTGTGTATTCTCAAAACACTGACTTCTGTGGCAAATATGCCATGATGAAGGCATGGTGGTGTATTGTTAGGAGATAGAGATAGAAGGAGAGATAAAACCCTTTTTACAGGAAGTAGAAAACAACTCCACTCAAAGTCTAGTAGATATAAGGGCACGCAGCTTTTCACAAGCAGGGGTGACAAATTAGACCCTCAGACTTTTGAAGTTAAAAATTTATCTGATGAAAAACAGAGTTCTGTGAGAAAAAAGGGGCAATGACTAATGATGAAGATTAGATTTTTGATAACGTAGCAAATAGTTTGGAAACTAGATCTGCCAGGGTATCAGATTTGTACCTCACAATTATTGTGGCCATGAAATATCACAAAAACAAGATTATCTTAATGTTTACAGAAAATTTAAAAAACTAACACATTCAATAACAATATGGAAAAGCAAGACAAGGGTGGAGCGACACATAAATGTTATGTTGTCATCCATTTTAAAGGATGTTTAGATTTAGGATTTGTCCACATCAAATGTTACCGCATCAAACAACTTTGGGTCATGCTTTTATTTTGAAATTTTCTGTCTTGCATTTAGGTTGCCTTATTGCCTCTTGTAGAGTAAGTTACTGAACTGAATGAGAACAGTTAAACGAACGTTAAAGTATGAATGTTCAACTGATTGGTAAACCCAAGAAGGCAAAAGCTCTAAGATCATTTGAACATCAGCATTTAAAATCATCTCTCAAAGTGCTGCTATAGCTTGCCTGCTGACAGTTGTTACTTCTTCTTCTATGATACCACTGATGAACTCAGTATTAGATGTAAATGGCTCCATGCTCTGGGAAACACAGCAAATACTGACATGACAAACTTGCTGGTCATAAAAATGTGACTGTGGTTTGCTTCATCGTCCATGAAGTTGTCTTCAAGTTAACCAGGGCCTTCATGGATCTACATGTGGTCATAACACACTCACTCTGTCTTGTTGTAATATGAGGGTGAGAAGACGTGTAGATCAGCAGGCCGGCTTCAGGGGAAACTTCTCGAATCATATAATTTTCATTCAGTTTTTTTATTCTTTCCTCCAAAAAATGCTTAAGCAGAAGTAGGGATTTGTCTAGAAACAGCCTTGAATGTTCCAGTATAACCCCCAAGTCTGTGCTATCATGGGAACACAGGGTTTATGCATTGCAGAAATTTGTAGACAAATACAGAATATGTCAGTGAAGTTTTAATGGTTTAAAACTCTTAATCCAATTTATTTAATTCAAAATAAACACCAAGATAGTTGGATATTTCAATCAGACCTTAAATTGTTTTATTTGTGCGAGGACATGAAAACCTCTAAACCTCAGAGTCCACTAACACTCTGCTGAAGTTGTGCTTCGCATTGTGCTCAAACCAGCACCATGTGTCAGCGTGTTCCCTGGTAGCATGTTGGCATGTCATCGGTACCATCAGGACAAATTTAACTTGATTTATTGTTCTTGGCGATTAAAGCAATTTGGATTCTGATAATGAGTTTGATGAGGGTCAAACTGTGTGCAGAACAATAAGAGCCACATGTGCCTCAATGCAGTTACAAACCACATGAAACAGAGGGAGGTGGAGTTGAGAGGAGGAGCAGGGAGCCAATTCAATCCAGATACGTCCAGATTCAAACATTCAGCGGAAGGTGGCCCGGGCTCAAACACCAAACGACCACCCCAAAGCCACCCTGTGGTCTCACCAAAGACAAATGAGCTGCTCAGGCTCAGTGGCATCAAATAGATCCAGTTTCAGAATAGCTTGGTCTTCCTCTGCCTTGGGTTAGAGATTTAACAGTTAAGATGTACACTTCCTACTCCCAAGTATGCAAGGAATTTGAGCGAAGAAGGAAAAGAGCGTGAGGGGAAAAAAATCAAATCAATCCATCGTTTCGTGTGTGCTTTGGCATCGGAAGAATAGTCTTTTTTAACCATAGTGTGAGATGGAGAAAGAGGTATAATGGTGGGAGTGTGGTGTTTATTGGTTTCTGCCAAGCCAGTCAGAGAAGCAAACACACAAGCAGAGTGAAACCTGATCGACTGGCACGCTGCCTGGACCAGCGGCAGCGCGGTGCAGCGTCAGGGGAAAAACACTGACAAACATACATAAGCACAGGACCCAGGTCTCCAAATAATCATAAGATGAGCAGGCCAGATAAAAAAAAGACCCCAAACACTCCAGGGAATTTAAAAATGTCTGAGCATGTTTTATGACAAAGATTCAGCACCGAGGATCTACGTGAAAGTCTGACTGAGGATGACTTTTAAGCGTCTCCTTGGATGAGGGGAAGTTTTCCGATTGAAGTCTACTAATTCCATCCCCTTGATCCCATCCCACTTCGCTTTCCTAACCCCCTCCAACACACACATACACACAGACAAATACACACTCTGGCCCAGCAGGAAAATCCCTCTGTGGCCAGGCGTTTCTTTTTAACTTGATATGCTTGTGAATCACCCCCAGTGCTGCAGTGCTGCTCCACTAATGAACACAGGGCCCACAGACGGAGATGTCCATGCCCTGCTACGCTCCTCCATCACACTGGAAAACAGGATCCAGCTGCCCAGCACCCTGTCATTATGGGGAAAAAACACCCAGAACACCCTCTGCTTGCCCCTAGACTCGTCTCATCCCCTGACCACATCTTATACTCAACCGACTTAACCTTAGTAACCTGCCTCCACCTTCAACCCTGCCCCAGCTGCAGCAATAACCAGCATCACACATTAATTTATTCTCTTGATCACTTGTTTTTATTGAGACACCACAGCCATGCTGCCCCACTTCCTTTAGCATCACGCCACATTTTTAAGTTTTTGCTCTGTGGATTGAGAAGCAACTTGAAACCAAAATCCACAAAAGCCTTTGACTAGATAATTTAGGGTTACAGAAGCATTAGAAATTAGTCTAGATAAAATCTGTCGCTTGAGTTTCTTGGAAGCTTCCCTGTTATTGGGTTTGGATCAGGCCCGGACAAATCCAAATATTAGTGGTGAAAAGTAACTGAATTAAGCATTAAATGTCTCAAGAAATAAATCAAGAAGTTTTGCCTTCTTCATTGGCCGCCATTTTTACTCCTGACAATCATTAACAAGCCTCTCTGCACAGTCAGCCATGACTCCAAAATTGACAAATGACGAGGCCAAAATGTTCAAGAACCTCCCCCTGAATAATTGCAGAATCAAAATCACTTCAAACATTAATGCTGTTGGTTTTATTACAACAATCAGCTGGGAAAATAAGCTTTTTACATAATTGTTGATAGAAAGAAATGAGTGATGCACCGGGTCAGGGGAAATAAAAGTTTTAAAGTAATCTGGTGCCTTTCAAGGATAAGGGGCTAAAGGTCAATTGGAACTGTCTACTTATAAACAGGATGAGATCAGGAAGGAGATTTGAGGACAAATAGTTCCTCATGGAAGCTTCACAGAGATAGTCAGCTTGTATGACTTACATGACGAGCCATTCTGGGTGCTGGTCAGCTCAGCTCCTTTAATAAGAAACTGCGAGGAGAGCCAGTTTGCAAGCTAGGCTACAGTTCTCTGCAGTCAGGGTTGAGTCAGCCTTGTAATTTACCACATTGAAGAGACTCTAATCCAAGCACTCTTCTCAGTTTAAGGGCATGCTCTACTGATAACTTTTTTAGCACATTGACCAAAAAGCTCATTCATTTATGCACAATTTGCAGATTCAGCACATGTCCTTGCACCTGCTCGTGATTCGTGATGTGTAACTCATTCAGCCCCATTTCAAAAATACTGAACTCTCCTTTTTAGTGAATGATATCAGTTTGCAAGGCTTCTGCTTCTGGCTTACCAAGTGTCCTGTTTAGGGCTACACGGCAGTGATTGTGATGATGGGGATGCTCCATACAAATTTCATATTTAACCTTGTTCAACAATAACAATAAATAACTTGAACCTGAACTTGAATGTGTTGCTTTGTGTAGAACAAGAGAGATGTCAATCAAAGTATGACCAGCCACGCCCACATGATATTAACAGATGATCTGAACAGTGAAGCAAGATGTCAGATTTTTTTGATGATGCTCACTAAGACTGTCATCTTTTATGTCGTGTATTTTTGTCGGGTTTCGTGGGTATTTTTTTCATCTCGATATTTGCAGTCTAGGAGTTCGTGCTTATTGTGTTGTTGTGCCTTAAATGTTTTTTTGTTTACACACAAGCGAGAGTGAATGGCTTCAGCTCAAAGACTATCTCTGCTTTCACACACCGTGCTGATTGTTGTCTTTATTTTTGTTTACGCAACATGACTGCACACTATGGAGAAAGCGATAAATCTCAGCGACAGTCTTGGATCTGTATCAGCGCTAGACACCAATATAAATACGAACGTGATCTCAACAGCATGTGGAGGGGATGGATGAGGAGGGGTGGGGAGCGACTCAGGGGGTTGGCATGAAATTCCATCAGATAAATTCATCAAAGTACAGCGCTTGAGATGTGAGTGTTGGCAGAAGGATGGCATGGGAAGCAGCATATGGAAACACACACACACACACACAGAGGTCTATGCATGTGCACACTCAGACACAGACAAAGGCAGACACACACTCACACACACACGTTAAGGCGATACCAGCATCAGGGTAGAGTGAAGCCATATCTAATATGCTGAGTGAAAAGTAAACACAGCTCTGTGGCATCAGGGCTTCCCGCTCACAGACGAACCATCTGACTCAAAACAAGCCTGAGGCAGAAAACCTTCCAGGAGGCCAGGGCGGGGCCGAGACGGTGGGGCTGGCTGGCCATAAAACACACATGCTTACAGTCACACTCACACACAAACTGTCGCACACAAATACATAACAGAAACAAGAGTCAACCAGACATAATTGCTCTGTTGTTGCTCTGTCAACAGCAATAAAAGTAGCGCTCTGACAATATGATTTACAGGGGGATATTGAAGATACAGACGTGCAAATTCCTCCAATTGGTCGGGCTGCAAATTGGAGCATTCTCTTGTCACACTTACCAACCACTGAGGCAGGGTTAACATCTGTGGGTTCATAACCATTTTGTGTTTTAGAGCCTCGCTATGTCCTCAAGAAACCTTTGTGGTGGAGAACCAACCTGCTTTCACTCCTGGGATATCAAATACAGCAGCTTTGCCATGTTATAGTTTGATGAGTGTGAATGTTAGCAGCAGGTTGCGGGAGGAGGATTGGTCAAACAAGCACAAGACTTTATATCCAGGAGATTGAGTTTGATTTCACGATCGAACAGCCACTTTGAAGAAGTTAAGAAACTCAAAGACATGAGATACATGACATTACTTACTTAAGCTGCTAATGTTCATCAACACCTAGTTCAATTTGGGCTATGACCTTTTCTTCCAATCTTAACTAAGTCCCAAATCTTCAACACAAGTACTTTGCAAAATTCAGCATATCTAAAAGTTTTAGAGAAAGCAGACGTCAGCAGACTTTGCTTTTATGATTTCATGAATTATTTGAGTAACCAAGGAAGAAATTTAGTCTGCTCAGCAATTTTTCACTTCTTTTTGCTGTGAAGATGCAGATTTCCAAATTGGATGTAAAATGAAGAGTCATCTGTTCTTGTCTCATTACAGGGCCTGAATAAATATAACTAAGTTCATTAGACTTGCTTTCACAATTCACATTAATTTTCTGTTAAAGGGATGCCAGGTAGCGATACCAAAATACCCAGTGGGGGGAAAATGCCAAACAGAGATAACCACATTGTTATGAAGATTACAGTTTTTTTTCATTGAAATACATGAGAGAGCGGGATCTTCCTCTATCACTGCCAACATACCTTTTAACAAGATCGTACTAAGACCTTTATAAACTTATAGTCATCAGTGACATCTTAATAAATATCATGTATTTGAATTAAATCTTTTACTGAACATGGATTGTGGGGACCCTAGTCTCCATTGTAGTAAGCCTGTATGTGGTTTGTCTCTCACTCTCAGTACTGTATTTAGCACCTCTGGCAAAGGCCTCTTCTACTTCTAAGCTATCAGCTGGTTTCAGCATGAGCTGCTCACCTCTGCTAGAGAAGGTAGCAGCTTCACCTCGATCCATGAATGTGAACTTGTGTTTCCTCATTTCACACGGACCTATTAGCACAGCTTTGACTCCTGCATCTCTGTTTTCACTTGGCTAAAAAGCTGAAATGTACTCAAGCTATTTGACATTCATTTTAAGTACCAGTGCAGTCGCTGTTGTTTCTGTCTGAACACGTGTGGTGAGGTAGTGAAGTTGTGCATTAGCTCACTGTGCAACAGGGTTGGCTTAATAAAACTGCAGTATTTCATATTTGTGCTCTTCGTGACAGCTCTACTGGTGACTAATAAGCTGCAGGTTATGAATTGATTTATTGATTTGCACAAAACTTCCCAAGCCTCATGGGTTTATAGGGCACTGGAAATACACTTGTAGTTGTCCGATAATTCTTTACAGAGCTGTAGGTGATTTGCATGTTTCTTTTCAGCTCTTTAAAGTTCTATTCTTGATTACTTCCAAAGTTTTGCATATAAAATCTGCAACCAGAAATTTCCTCTTCATGGTCAGGGTATAAAGGATAAATACAGAAACCAGTACTTCTGAATTTACATTTTAAAAGGTAAAAAAAAATAAATTACGGCTGTTAATTGAATAATTTGTGTTACTGTGTTTGTAATGTCCCACCTGAAATCAGTCCTGTACTGGGAACGCTGTTTTTTCCCTATTGCGCTGGTGGATGTGTAAAGAGCAAACACCTTGCTGCTCCGTGCTGTTTTGACAATGAGCCAGTAGTGTGCGTGTGCGTGTGTTTTTGTGTGTGTGTGGCTGCCTGGCATTTAACAGACTCCCCTGCTGGTTGTATTGTAGACAAAATAAAGGAACCATCAAATGTGGCACACAGAGGGGATCTGCCCTCTTCTCCTCCACCCACACACAGTGCAGCGCATCGCTGCAGTCTGTCTTGCGGTCTGAAAAGTTTCACAAATCATGTTAACAAATATCCCAGACTGAGCATCCTGCGGTTTTCCACAACCAGTACAAGGAGTCCAGAGCTTTTGTTGTGGCCATGGAAATCCAAGACGATCTCTCAGGATGCCAGGAGCATGTGAAAAATATTTGTAGCCATAAAAAAGGGCCAATTGGTATTAATGGTGTGGCATGTTGTAGAGCCCATGGGAAGGGTGTGTGTGTGTTCAAGTGTGTGTGCGTGTATGAGTAAGAGAGCATGTTTGGTCTGGGTCAAGCAGACACACTTGTTTCCCAGTAGGATGGATCAGATGGAGGCCACAGGGCAAGGAGCAGACAGATTCATCAGAGGCGTCATCTCAGGGTGTCCGGTATCCCAGAGTGCAGTGCTGCAGCTGCCAGGCCTGCAAGTGGCAGCCATGATGGACTCCAGGTGGACAGAAAGACAGTTTCACAGATACAGGACCTTCAGAGAAAATCCTCTGCCCTGAAAAGCTGCTGAACTGAAACTTAAAGAATTTTATTTCTGTTTCTTCTAAGCTGCTGCTACCTTAATTATTTCTTGGGCATGCGTGGATTAGCATATCACTTGTGAGCTGTAAAGATTAAATATACACATTTAAAACCTCATGGATGTACACTAACTGTAACTAATTCATTCTAAGCTACTTAAGCTATCAACTGCAGCTTCTCATGTCTAACCTGCCCCTCATACCATGTCTTAACACTGTGGCCTAACACATGTAACATGAGCGAGTCAGCAACAGGATCAGTGAGATAACAGTATGTCCCCTTAACTGCCCACATATGATGTAGCACAAAGCAATGCAACATTTCACAATTAATCCACGACAATGTGTGTCACCCTGCAGGAGCGATATCAGAGAGACGCGTCGTCAGTAAGATATGACTGTTTGGTTAAATTATAGAAAACTGCCTTTTCAGTGAGAGCAACAGGAAATGAAACTAAATTATTTTAAGAGATGGTTTGTGAGGTGTGATAATTTTCCTAGTTTTTAATTGAATTACATTGATTGTCTTTTTGAGCTTCCTGCAGAGGAATCAGATTTAAAAGAGCTTTACAGCTGACTGAATCTGGACAAAACAGAGACTTTATTATCTTTATTTTTATTTTGTGAAAACTCCTAAATATACCATTTTTCCACGTTTTCTTCATGATTATTATTTAAGTCCTTTATCAGTTATAACTGTTGAAAAGTGGGGTAGGATAGAGTTGATGTTTTGAACAGAGTTGACTCAAACCCCCAGCAGGATTGTAAATCCACCAGAGGAGACTTGACCTCGTGAACCTGTGACAGAAAACACATAGGTCATTATAAGCATTCGTGTCCACTTTACTCTCTGCTGGTTTCCTAACAATGAATATAACACGGCAGAGCTTGGTTAGTAGTCATGTTTAAAGCTTTAATACAACCTGAAAATGAAAAGCGGATCATTTAAAATGGTTTTTTATCATCTCACGATGTGTCTCTCAGCTGCAGTAAAATCTCCATAAATACTCAAGCTGCATGTTTGTTTTCTTGCAGTGTGAGGATTTTTCTCAGCTCTTCCTCACAGATTGGAATCATAACCTTTAGCAGAGTTTACTCATAATAGATTTTTGTCTCTGTCTCCTTCGGTGCAGGATGCCTTGTTAAACCCGGAAATTTGTGACAAGTTTGATTTAAGGCTGTTTGGATTGCCACAGCAGAAGCTCCTCTCAGCAATCAATCAAATCAAACTGAAAGCAGTTATTTTTCTAACCTGGCATGCATCGCAAAGGTATGAAGACAAACCTATAAATATAGCTGCTCCAACACCTCAGAGACAACTTATACTTACTCATGGAACAAAGCACAAACATGGCATTTCTTTCTCACACTTACTAAGTACAGAGCTGTGCTCCTCCTGAGGTACTACAGCGGATTAAAACTGATGGTTTTCATATTTGGGATCTGGTACAGGTGACAGGAAATGGGTTTGATCTTTAAGTCCATGTTTACTCAGCCAAACTCCAGAAAACTGGCTCTGCACCAGGCATCCGGTTTAGGTTTGGCAAACGTCAGGAGTTATTAAGATACTCTGCAGTTATACATCAGCTTCATAATGAAAACGTCACATAGAAAAACTTTATTACAGTTTGTGTTTTAACTGACAGTGTGATCACTTAACACATCCATCATCAGATGAAGCGGAGCGGTCTTTGTCACAGATGCCTCAAAAACACCTCCAGCTAGTCACTGGGTGTTTGTTCACCCACTTTAACATTCCTTGGCTTGTCCTTAACCGCTAATGGGACAGATAAAATAAAATTAAAAAATCATTGTGGGATTTGTGTTTGCCATGAGGAGGTGACTTTGGCTCTGAGGTTGTGTGCATGCAAGTTCTGAACCGATATTAGTCTGAATGGCGTAAACATAACCATTTCAAAGAAGTTGATTGTTGCTGTGAAGCTGCAGAAGTAAACCTTCAGATGTGTGGGCGCATGTATAGCTAGTATACTACTATTGCTTGAATGGGATGGCAGAGTGGACAGTGTTTAACTTACAGACATTTTTACAATAGAGTCATAAACCTTAGCAATAGTTTACACTCAGCGCTGTAAACACATCAGTGTTTCCCCGACTTTCATTTAGCAATGTGTCACCTATTGGCTGCTGTCTGATGTGTGCAGCCTTTTGGCCCTGTTCTTTGCAGCGTTATTGGCTGCTGATTGACGTGGTAATGACCTTATTTAACGACAGTCCACTTCCAGAAAGTACCAGCAGTTTGAAAAAAAATAATAATAATTGAAAACATAAGAACAAGGAGCACTATTACTCTACTCAGCGAAAACACTGAGAGAATAAACTTCTAGAGGTATAACCATCTGCAAAAAAAGTGATTTTTAATGTGGACAGCCATGATGCGATGCACAATCAATATTCCCACGACTAACAGCTTGAACACACTTACATGATATTTCAGGAAAAGGTCCTGTCTTAAACCAACAAGTGTGATATTTACAGTGTGGATTTTCTGGGATATCCTGAAGACAGGCTCAGCTGGATTAGAGACGTGGCCTTTTTTCTTCTTTTTTTCATAGTGCAGTTTTAACAACACTGAGGCAAAAGATGTGGCAGTACGGTAAAACAACACTGCTGCTGTTGCGTGGCACCAGGCCAAGAGCAGACAGTACATAATACTCTGTACAGGATGCTCTGCTTCCTGCCCCTCCTTGAGCAGGTGCTGAGAGATGGTGTGTAGGTGTAAATGTGATTATTTCACCCGTTAGGTTGATTCTGGAGATTGCAGGGCTTTGCAGAATGACGACAAGTGAAATATAGTAAGAAAATCATCCACTCCTGTGTTTGCTAAACAGAAAGCAACATAAAAAAATCTATTTTATGGCAGTTTCGTGTTTCGTCCAGCTCAGTTGAGTAACCGAAAGAGAGGAGGGAATCAAATTGCCAACAGTGTTTACAGAGAAAGCATGACTTCAAGTAAGGGCTGTCAGATGATCGATTTTTTTTAAACCACAAATAATGGCAGAATTTCAAAGGTATTGTATTTTTAATCATGTTAAAATTTCATTATTTTGCATTCAAAAACAGTTTTTAGATTTATGTTAATGATAAAAAGCAATCCTGAGTGGTGATTGGATTTGGAAACCAAGCAAATACCTTGAGCTTCATTGCTACACCGGTGTGATCTAAAACCATGACTTAGAGGTAGGAGACAGCTGCAGAGTGCTTAATCTGTAAAATCCAATTTCATACTTAATAAAGAATATATTCAAGATTTGATTTAAAGAGATGTGCAGGAGGGCCGGTAGAAAATGTACATTTATTCTGAGAAAGTCTAATTACTCACTAACATCCAGTGATTCTTGGATACTGCAGCAGCATTTGCACTTTTTAGGGATTCCAGTTTGGTTGCTTTCTCCGTTTCATGCTGGTCCCAAATGCACAAAACTATTTTTCCCTGCAACACTGAGGGGATTGATGTCATGCCAACCATAGGTCTATTCAATCCACACACTGCAAAATAGAACTTTACCTTCTTCCTAAGAGGACCTACATGATGAGCACAGATCAATAATGAACACAGTTGGAGAGGACTCAGAGGTCTGAATCAGGCCTCAAGTTTTCCAAGAAATGAATTCATTCTTGGACTATTTGAAAGAAAAAAAGCAGTGAAGGCTCACTGTGTGCTCACTGACATAACTTGTGTGCCCAGCAGATGTCTTATTTTAGTCAGTTTGTGTCTTTTCCCCTCTTTGTTTATATGTTTGTTGAGATGCTTGATCTTATTTTTGGTCAGTTGTCAAACTTTTTCTTTTGATCTCATCTTTTTCTACTTGCTGTCTTGTCATAAATCTGGAAAATCTTCAATAAAGTTTACAATAAAATGAGTGTTAGATGGTGCTCAGAGTTTCAGGGCAGGTTTTATGTTTTCATTGTGTTAGGAGGAAACAGAGACAGTCTCCTGGTTCCCACTGATACTGACATAAAAAGGGTTTTTTTCAATAGGCTGTAATGCTGCATTCCTTGCTGTTTCTGACACATCAGCCATAAGAGACCTTAAATAGTGTTTTTCCCAGATTTTTTTTAATATAATTTAGTCAAACTCAACACGAGTTAACTTTAGCATTGCCGTTAAATCCTGAACTTACAGTCGACTGCATTCCTGTTGCAAAGGAAAGGGTTTCCCACGATCCACGTCCAGCGAAAAATTAAATCCAAACCCTTTATTTCCGCAAAGATTCGCTCATTACTTCAAATCTGTGTGTTCTTGTTCTTCAGATTACCATGTAAAGTCAGGGCTTGGATCCCTCTTGAGCGAGGATGCTCCGGGACGATGATTCAGACTCTTTTTAGTGATTTTATTGGCTCAGCAAGAATCAGCTTGTTCAGCTCCCAAACAGCTCTCTGAAGAACCATTATGGCCGTGCAGACTGAGCGAATTGTTTCCAGCGTGTTCAGTGCTCTACTCGCTTCATTTGATTATTTCTGAGAGTTGAAAAATCCGCCCTACAGCGAATCACTTCCCCTGTGATCGCCATTAAAAGGGAGGAAAACTGATCAAAAGAGGATGTGGCTACCCTGTACAATACCACTTTTTCAATCTGAACCATGTTGGATGAAAACAAACTCAAATGGCGTGAAGTAGGCCCCTCCTCTCATGTATAAATTTGCATCTTTGGGCACACACATCAGCCAATAGAGCAATGAAATCCTTTAATTGGAGTCTAGTGTTACATGGCTACCTCAGTGCAGATACATGTTTTGCAACTGTTAACTGTTATACTGATAGCATTAGTGTTATATTGTGAGTGCCATATTCATTTTTAGCCATCTGCGAATTTCCCTGTTTGTCCTGTGATTCCAACTCTATGCCTGAAATCTGAGAAGCAAAAAACAATAAAGATGAATAAAAAAAGAAATGAAGTTATAACAATCAGTGAGATGTTTTATGACTTTGACATTAGGAAACATATTTGCAGATCTGTGTTCAGCTCCTTCGCAGCTGGCATGCACCGAGGGAATCATGCACCAACATGTCCCCATGAAACAAACAACTGCACCACTAATTCAATAGCAGCTTGTATTTCTTCTCTTAACAGGCTGGATTTGTAGATCAGATCTTCTGACCGAGGGGAGTTTGTGGGAGCAAAGCCCTAAAAGGAGAGAAAGCATATGTGTATATTTATGAGTGTTGGAGTAGGATAGAAAGAGAGTTAACGTGGGATCCTGAGCTCTCTAGGACTTAGACAATCCCCACTGTAATGTAAAACCTATGAGACACTGAGGGGCTGTACAGTGCTGAGCCTCAGCTGGACCAGAAAGTGCACCCAACATGTTGTCAAAGCATAAGGAATTTATTACTAATGTTGGTCAGCTGTAGCGACCGGAGGGGCGGGGGCTTTTTCCAGCGCGGAAAAAGAGAAATCATTAATTATCTTCACAGTCACCCTTGATCATTCCCTGAGTCTCAGCTGAGTTTATCTCTGAAGCGTGCATTTCCATCCCGACTGAGTCTCTTCAGCTAGCGTGTCCATTTATAAAGCTTGTGGCTTAAGAGCGAGGTCGTATGCTGACCTCGCAGGCTGACAGCCAATGGTGTGAAGGATTGGAGGTAGAGGAGGTGGAACAAAGCAGACATGGCAGCAGCATATGTGCTTTCATCCAGACCTTGGTCTTCACATTGAACTTTAACCTGCTTGATGGGTTGGAAAAAGAGCTGGGAGCACCAAAGCAGCCAACAACAGAACAAAGTCCAGTTATGAGGACTAAAACAGCTGATTTTAAAACCAGATTAACTGCTTATGACGTAGAAAGTAGCGCGTAAATATTTACATATTTAATTTGAGTGGGTTTTATGAGCTGCTTCAGTGTAAGTAGAGGGAACAATGTTGAGGCTCATTTGTGGGAGGTAAAACCTCAAACAACCAAAAGTTTAACTGAATCCAACAGGGCATGTTGTTTCAGGTATCAGTTGCATGATGAAATCCATCCCAAGGAGTTCAAAGTGATATTCCTCGCAGCTTAAATGATGCCAACATATTGTTATTTCAGCATTTGATGCCCAACTTCGTTCCTTTTCTTTTCTGCCACAGGGGAGTTGAACCCGATAACCTCTTAAGTTAGTGTGTGAAACATCCGAGTTTGCCAACTTAGTGCTAAATGTCTCAACAGTCTTCGCCAAAAGGAAATTGGGAATTAAGATATTTAGTTACTGAATTAGGCAGCAGAGGAGGGCACAGTTTATGAAAACTTTACCTGTTTTTAACTAGGGGTGGGTATTGGCAAGGACCTCACAATACATTACATATCACGATACATGTGTCATGATTCGATACGATATGATTCGATACGATACAATACAATACGGCTGTATATTTGCAAGGACCTCATAATACGAGACATATCACAACATAGTATTAATATATCATGGTATTCAACATTGTTGATCAGTCAAAAACCCAAGTTGCTATAAAAGAGGATACTGATCCAAGGACAAAACTTCATTTCAAACAACAAATACCATTTTATTTGACTGCATAAGTGCTACGTACGCTAATTTGAAAAACATCGATACATGGTTAATGTGAGGATATATCACCAGACAGTGTATCGCGATACTATGCTGTATCAGTTTTTTTCTCTCACCCCTATTATCAACCTTTTTTGTATAAAAATAATAGAAATTAGCATTGATGTTAATGTGGGGATCGGGAGGAAAGAGGAGGTGATACCATGTGTCAAAGCTAGACATTGCCTCTCACATTAGTTTGTTTCATGTATGACCTAAAAAACACCTCATGGAAGAGTGAAGGGACTCAGTTCAACTCAATTTCTACTCAGCGCTTGTGACCCTAAACTGCACCAGCAAGCTAATAAATCATACCAGCAGTCAAACAGGATGAAAGGAAGTACACAACAGACTACCTTTAGCTAACAGACGAACTAAAATATGAAATACGCCACGCTGACAAGCGCCTTACTTTTAACCACTCCGCTGTATTCCTTTGACAAATAATTCCGTCTCCACCTGATAATCAGCTAATTTGATGAATAGGCCAATTAGTCTTTAGAAACAACTTGAACCAGCACACTACTATAAATCACGCAACATGGATTTGAGCTCATATACGTACGGGTACAACTACTCCGAGAGGACTCTTTCATCTGCAAGACATAGTCCCCTTTAGGACTCGATCAGAACGCAAGGTTAATAAATCCCGACATTTCACATGATGAAAACTGAATGTACTACTTTTGAACAAACGTGTGGAAATAGTCATAAAGCTCAGATGTTTTTGACTTATATTTCTTAGATGTTAGACCAAAACTAATAATACCATGTGCAATGGTGCTTCAAACAGTCATAATGAGGGGTAAATTAGTTATCTAAAAACTCCAAATGTGGAGTTTAACTCTTCAAAACTGTCAGTCCAAACAGAAGATGCCAACGTGTTGTTAGCGTCATCTGACAACCACTCATGGTCGATGACATGTTAACTCAACTTATGCTCATATTCCAGGGATTCAATTTACTTTCCTGATACGAGTGTCTAGGTTAGTGAGTTTGTTGAAATCAGCTGGGAGGGACATAATTTAATCCATCTTTGTATAAAGATATCCAACTCCCACTGTTGAGAGCCCCAACAATTAAAAAAATACTTTTTTTTTCAGAGAAATGTTGGAAAAAAATATAAATTAAAACTAGACTGAATGAGTCTAGCATATGTGTGTAGCCATGATGGTCACTGTAAAGTAAACCAGAGTGTTCAATATATTAAATTGGTTCTCCACAATGTGCAGGTAAGTCAGAAAATCACCCAAATCAGCAGGCTTCATACTCTGTAGTGGAAATCTACACAAACCTTCATGCTGCCTCTTTGAAATTTAGTTTGAGATTTCAGCCTTTACACGTCACCACTAAATGCTTTGTGAATTACAGTACTATCCTCTGCCGCCTTCTTTAACATTTCATGACAAGGCATTATCAATCCACTCAACAAATCATCTTCTACCATGCGTGCTTCTCCATGCACGTTGATCTTCTTTCTGCACCAGTAGCAACCATGGCAGTTTCTCACTGTTTGTACACCTTACAAGACAGTGTGAGGAACACAAAGTTTCGCTGCTGAGTTTTATTGGCTCTTTGTCAGCAGGTTGCCAACGGCTTTGTCTGTCACATTGAGAAATTAGTGATATTTTTTCCTGTTTGACCTGAATTTGCATGCAGCACAAGCCCCAGGTTGCAAGGAAAACTCATTTCCTAACCTGAGATGTCACATTATAATTGGATTGCTTGATTTCTGCAGGCGAGCGGCCTCAAATGAATCTGTCCCTGGTATTCTGATCCATGCGCTCAATCAGTGTTATGATCCAGAAAAGGAGAAATTTTCACTTGGTGTTGATTTTGGACCCATGAGGACAAAGTTGTGCATCCTATGCATTTCATACATTTGTTGTTATTCATGAAACAATTTCTTATAACAAGAGGATACATTAAACTCTGTTGTGATTTAATTTGGTAACGTTTTGTCTATTTTAAAATGCATCTTGTCGTCCAGATTTTGTTCAGTCTCTTTTCAGAGAGCCAGTATCTCAGTATCAGGGCTCAACAGGGCGACCGTTTCACATAGAAAATAGTAAAATGTATTTAGGGGCACATGTGTGCATAAAAAAAATTAGCCGAGGCAACAACTGTTTTTTCATGTAAATACTGCGGTGAAGTTAGTTTAAGGTTGTATATTTGACGGACATACACTAAAGATCTACGGGTGTCTTCTCACTCTTCATAACCAGGAATAGCAACAGCAGCGCGGTTAAATCTACTCAGCACCCTCGCTGTCAACGTTTGGTGTTAAATAAGGGACCGTAAATAAATAACAGGTTGGTGCTCTCAGAAAAGGCGGTTTTCCTTCAATAGCTTCCATGTCATGTGACCAAAAGACCTAAAATTGATATATACCAATAAGACAAACATTATTTGATCAATCTTCATTGTGCCCCTTAAGTTCTTTGTGGGCTTCTTACTTTTTCAACTTTCGAGCACATGTGCTTCTTGTGAAAAAAGCTAGTGTCAAGCCCTGAGTAATCATTTGTCCACAGCTTCTCTCTGTATTTGCATAAAAAATGTCGAAGGTTTGACCGTTATCAGTCAAACTATCAAGCAGACAAACAAGCAGGCAGGTAAGGCGCTGGCTGCTGTTCAAAAGCCGTGAGTCACAGATCAGAGACAGCAGATGGTGTGATAGTTCGGCTCCTTGTTAACTTTGGCAGAGAACCGCAGAGCGCATCACTGGAACCCATCCCATCCAACCCCCTCTGTTTCTTCTCAGCAACCAACACCATTGACTGTACATCATAAAAACAGAGTCATAAATCACGAGTAGCTTAAATAAAGTTTAGCCAGAAAAACAATGAGAAACAACACGAGAGGTAGAGTTATTTTTGGACTGCAGATAGCAGAGACAGTGTAGATAAAGGTGTGCTCGGCTTGTTTGTTGATATATTAAATTGTTATTGTCGCGAGATTGTTGTTTTTGTTGTACATTGAATCATAATCCCTGTACAATCAAAGCAACGTAGACAAATGAGTCTAGAGCACACTGCCAAGTTCACTGCGCATTGCATAACTTTCACTGCTGAGATTTATTCATGGAAAAGCAAAGAGATGCATAACGTGAAACAGGCAGAAATCTGCTGCTTCTCCCTCACATGACAACCAGGGAGAGACAAACTGTGTGTAAATAACCATCGTGCTTCAGGCCGACACATTCCAGATAAGACGACAAATAGCCATTACCTGCTGCATTATCAATCACATGGGTACAGTGCACTGTCATTGCCTCTTTTCATGCATTCCCAATGACAGTCATAACTTTGACCTGACATACCCAGTCAGCTTGAGCAACTTCCCCAATCCATCACGGCTGTCAGAGACGAAGCACGCCTTTGTTCTGATTAATTACAGCCTTGCTGGTAGGAGCTGTCAGTCTTCCAAACAGGTGATATATACACACACTATCAAGATGTTGTGAATGAGCATGAATGAGTGCGGGTTGTCATGACTCAGCCGCAAAATATTCAAATGAACATTATGAGACGGGGAGAGAGACAGAAACAAAACAAGGAAACCATTTGGCAGCCCTCCGGCAAAACCATCCAGTCTTCACTGTCCAGGAAAGCAGAAGAAGTGCTACTAGTGTCAGAGGATCAGAGCTGCTGCATTAGAGTGACGAGTGAGTGCAATTTCCCCCGAGAGAGATTGTATCATAATGATGTCAGTATCTCTCTCTCTCTCTCTTTTTTTTTTTTTCTTGCTCATAATATGTTTGAACAAACCTGCAGAGGACCTCCTGGGAGCTCCAGCATGCAGCAGAATTACATTAATGTGTTTAAACTGGCAAAACACACGTGGAGCTGTGCGTTTCCCTGAGAAACATTTCAAAGCTCATAAACTAAACATTTCCACCCTCAGCCTGTCTTGCAGATCATGCTGGATTGTTCTATATATGGCACATTAGCATAATAAACATCTTCTCCTTGTCTGATGGCGGATGGAGTAGTCTTGCTGAAGGTTCAGTGTGGATTGCAATGAATGTGCGGAGAGTTGTAATGTTTATGTGAGCGCCTGTAACACTTTTCTGCGTCTAAGTGTTTTCCAGCCTGTTTTCTTGTACTTGGCTGTGCAGAGGGGATTATTTGTCGGGGAGGAATCCAAGTCCTGAGAAGTTATTGGTCTCTAAACACTCCATATATGTGATAACAAAGCTGCTGTGAACACGTGAAGAGACAGAACTAGGACCGACTGTAAAGCTGATAGTTTAGTCCCAGCCACTTCTTGGTTTTGATAGTGTAGCCAGCTCACTAAATAGTTGACACCTATCGTCTACCGCTGCAGGTCATACCCACGCCCGAACATGTTCATGCAATGAGCCCAGAGTGCCACTCCACCATGATCATACTAGTTAGAGCAGCAACCAACTTTGGAACAGTTGTTGTCCTCAAGAAGATCTGTCAACTCGTTTGCACTTGATTTAATTTGAGTTTAATGGAGAGAATATGGTATGGGGGGATTAATCAGCCATGTGATCGCCGACGATAGGTTGCAAATGCTAATATTCAGTACGGTGCAGCGCACATGTGTGCCGCAAATACTGATACATATGAGTCAGAGGTTGAGCCATGTAAAAAAATAAATAAATACTCATCTTTAAGCCGTGGCAGATTTTATTTAGCTGTGTCAGTGCCCCATGGTCAACTGCATGTAGGGGAAACCCTGTGCTTTATCTTACCTTGCGAAATACATGTGTTACTCTGCAAATAACACAAGGAGTAAGGAGACATGCCATCTATACCTCTGAATATAAAGTGTAGGTACATGCAAACATTTTAAAAGAGCGCTTCGTACTTTTGGTTATACTTGAGCTAAATGTTGGGCTAATTGCTAAAAATGTAATCTTTGTATAGTAACATTCACAGTGACAATGTTAAGACACATTGTCTTAAAACCCGGTCATTCACGAAATCAGCCAGCAGAAGTAAACCAATCAAAACTCTCTGAGAGGACCGTCAAGATGTTTGACAGGAAGCCTCATCATGTTCACTACAAGCGTCATATTTTGAACATTCACAGTTGACTAACTTTTGCTGATATTTGTCTTAAATGTTAAGTTCTGAACGGGCTTGCCCCTCATTCATTTAATGAATATATCCAGAAAAACAACCAAAACACTTAAGTACTAGACTGTGTCGTACTGAGGTGTGAAGCTGTATTTTGTCTGTCATAGGCCCGCATTCCTGGAACACATTACCAGCTCTGTGAGAACTGCTTAACCTTTTTAAAACACATTTAAACATCGGCTAAAAACAAACCTGTCATGTACTCATAAAAGACTCTGTTCCACCTCAGGTGCTCGTTCGCGGGGGAGGATAGTTAATCCTGTTTCTTAGAAGATTTTAAGTTAAGAATCCGTTATTTATATACGTAGCATGTGTCCATTTTGTATGTACAACTGAAGTGTGATATTTAAAGAATTTCACTGAAGATAATAGTAGGAATGAATGAGTGGATGAAAGTTTTCTCGTAGCTTAATGCCCATCATTGAACCTGCACATAAACAGCAGATCAGACAGCCAGAGCAGAGAAAGTCTGTGTGCTGCTGTGTTTGTCTCCAACTTTACAAGTCTAAGCTTTCACTAAGCGGATCTCCGTCTACTTTCTGCGGTGAAACCCGATCAGCGAATAAGTGAGTCTGCTACCCTACACTAATGCTGAAGAGCTCTGTCTGCGTGAATCCATAACACACCTTTACATGAATCGACAAGCACCCTGACAACTGCTTAATGCGTACGTGTGTGTACGTACGTCAGCGAGGCGCTCATGTCTCGCCATCCACACAGTATGCGAAGCTTGCAGTGTGTGGGTGTGAGTTTTGTGTGCAGCAGGTCATCCTAATCCCCTTGTTACCCACAACATCCAGAACTACTCAAACTAGAACTTCCACTACCATACAGCACATTTCACCATCACACCAGGTGTAGCTGTTCAGTTATATTTAGTCTTCGCTGCACTTTCACAACACAGCATTCCTACATCCAGCACATCCTCATGCCAAAACACTTTCCCCTTCATGGCTTGCAAATCTGCTCGAAGGGTTTCAATGAGGCAGCTGCCCACTGAACGGGACATGAACACTTACATCCAAGGACAATGTGTCTCTGTTGATCATTGCACACAAGCACAGTGGCGTTAAAGGCTAAGTGTGTGGACCACCATGATGCAGCCGCAGTTTACAGAGTTAAAACATGTCTGGGAGCAAACGGAGACACTTAAGCCTGTGTGCTGAGGTTGACTCATAGGCCAGCAGGTTGTCTACATGCTTACACTACAAAGCTCACAGCACAATCACACCTCCTGATCCTTATCAGTGCAACACTGACGCAGACCTTCTCTAAGAAGCTTGCTGTGCTCCGCTCCACGAGCAAAAGCTTTTTAAAGATCGACTTCTTTGTGACAGCGAAAAGCTCTGAAGCTCAGAGAAGCAGCACTGGCTGGTGTTTCATTACATTGTGTTTCTTCAATGGCTGAGCGCTCAAAAACAACTTTCCAGCTGAGCAATCCTAGCATTAACAAGTCGTTCATCTTTGATGAGCTCCATATGCAAAAAAAAAAGGAGGGAGAGGAAAAAAAGAGTCTGTGATCAGAGAAATAAAATCATATGTGTATTCTGTCACGCCTCACATCCTGTGGAGCGCTGCAGAATGTGGTGTGCTTGAAGGAAAACAAATAGCATGTCCCGGTACAAGGCTGTGTTTGTTTCTGCTGCTTTCATTGGAATTGCAGAAGCAAATGTGAGCCTTGAAAATGAATGTGCAGCTCAAACTTTTTTTTTTCTTTAAGATGATTTATTTCTCTTATGTGGGATTGCAGGAATACTTTATCTTATCTGCAGGAAGTCTTTCAGCCTGCTGCAGGGACATGTCAGGAACCAACATCTCTCTTGCTCATAAGCCACTTTGTTCCCCTGCAGCTGTATTCTTAACCTTGGGTGGTCACTTTATATTTTCCTGTCTGTCTTTCCCCTCGCACTGTTTCAGACATTACAACACAGCAAAAAAAATGCCTTTTCATCTTAGTTTGATGTTCATCATGTCTTTCCCCTCAGCTTATACCCTACTATTTCCCTCGCACATGCACACACTCCACACTGAACACAAACAAAGTCATGTCATGCTGTATCTCTAAGACAAAAAGCCTGCCATCTTTCAACCCCGCCCAGATTTTCACAGTTGACAGTCAAGTTCTGGGTCAGTCGAGCTGGCAGGAGCTCACATCCGTCTTGCTTTTTGACACACGTCACAAATGAAAAACGAGACGAACGAGATTTCCACATAAAGGGTTGGAGGGCTTATGAAGATCAAGATTTCTGAAGCTGAGTTCACCAGAGTACAAGAGTAGACACAAAAGCAGCTACGGCTTTATAAAAGTCTCAGCATGATTGAAATTTCAGTATTTACAACCTCAATTTTAAATCAACATAACTGGTACAATTTTAAAAAGTAGAACAGGGACGACAAAATATTAAATTAAGTTAGGTCGATAAATCATCATCTATCTCATGAGGATAATTTGCAGAAAGACAAAAGGGCAGAAAAACTAAAACTACAAGACATGACTCTGTAGTAGTGCTGTAAAGTCCAAGCCGACTTATTGGTCAATACGTGCTGAGTCGACCAAAATTCTGATTGGTCGGCTCGATACTTTTTTCCACATCGATTTCCAGTCTGTGGTTAATTTCATCAGGAGGGACATACCAAGTGTTAATGGGGATGTTGTCAGAGCACCACCGTTTCACAGGTAACAGCCTGTCTCAGAGCACCCCCCTTTTTTCACCATCTTGGATTCGCCCAACCCATTGGACACCGGTTGGAGACAGAAAGATTGAAGAGCGTCCACATTAATCAACATCTGGTGGTTTGCTAAATATAATATCTGTGTTAAATTGCCTTCTTGTCCTGATATCGGTATATTTTCACCCCGCCAAGCTGCGCTCCGCCAAGCCACGTCGTCCCCCTTCGCAGAAGGGTTTGCCGTCAGAGTCAGAAACCCCCACCCCACCCTATAAGTCAATTTTTGGTTGAAAATTTCAGTGTTTTAGTCAACCAAGAATTTCTTTGGTTGATTACAGCTCTACTCTGAAGTGGAAATCACCACATCTGCTCAAAATCACCTCCTTCCATCATCTGCGAACACACTTCATCCCTGCAGCTTAAAAATGCACCAACATATAAACATGATCCACAAACGCTGATGACTTCTCTGGTTCTCAGCCCGTTAAGATGAACAAAGTGAAAGTGTGAAACAGCACGGCTCTGTAGAAGAAGAGTAAAAGCAGAGATTTTATTTTGGATCTCAGCCGCACCTTTTCTGTATTAAATCCTGTTATTCTGTGGCAGCTTCCCCATAAACAGTGTGTATTGCATGTTGTGTGTGTGTGTAAAGCCAGCTCTGCAGAACCCGGGTCACAAACGCTCTGCTGAGTTTAGCTCCCTAACATCAGCACCCTGCAGGAAATTTTATGCCTTGGTGGTGTTTACTATGTGCCAGTGAAAGTGGAACCATGGATAGAGTCATCAGGACTGTGGGATGACCCCGGGTTCATCGTTAGCCCCCCTGCTGCTCGCCCCTTTCATCAGGCAGCACAGTTGTTAGTTTAACTCAGGCCCCTCTCAGCAGGCCTTGGCACAGGAGAGAGTCCGTGGCCAAAGAGGATTTGGTCGGAGGAGGAGAGAAGTCTGCTCACACTCAGCGGCAGCTTTTCCAGCATCAGGCACCACCTACTTCCAATCATGCGTTCACCCCCAAATCCTCCCTGTGACTGCAAAACCAGCAGGGCCAGACCCAGCATGGAAGAGGTCTGGTCTAAATATAATCCTAAGTATGTGTAGAGAAACAAAGAAACAAACTCACAGTGTAGTATCACACCTCTCAAAACACTGGAGTGTGTTTCCAACAATGTTAGCAACATCAGTCAGGTTTCCTCGGAGACGTCTTGTGTGTTGTTTCAGCATTTATCTTTTAGTGGTGCAGTGGCACATCACAGGCGAGGAGATAATGACACGCTTTATTGAAATGGAGACGAATGCACCCTCTCCTCACCATGGGTGGTCCAGTTAGGAACACTGCATAGAGAAGCTCCCCCCAAAGGCAATTAGCATGCAAGCCAGACTGAACATATCTGGTTTATGCATTACACACAGCTGGGCTCAAGACATCACTCAAGATACAAGATATCACTGAGTGTGTGTGTGTACGTGTGTGTTTGTGTGTGAAAGGCCCGGATGCAGCAAGTGTTTCAATTGTGCTGAAATATGAGTAAAATAACAGAGTTTGCAGCTGCAGCATCATGGACCGGATTATGCTTTACGCACTAAAAAAATACCACAACAAGTTCCTCTGAGACTGTTTTAACTCACAGTCCTCTAATGACAGCATGCTAATTAAAATACCATAAATTTAACATGTAAAAACAAAGACAGGGAGTGTAATGTCTGATTATTTTTCATTATTGTTCTGCTATTGTGATGGGTGTCAGACTTAACTCTGAATAGGAGTAGCGGTGTTATTCTTCCAAATCTTTGTCTCTTTGTCTCTGGTTCCAGACTTGGCTCCTGTTTTTGGTCTCTTATGCATTTTCTTTTCTCCAAACGCCCTTGTAAGCAAAAACCTCTCCCTATGAGTTTATGGACCGCTTAATTTGATCTGCGGTAGAATTTTCTACGGTAAGAGAAAGCGTTTCTGCTCCAATAATGCTGTCAATCATGTTTATTTTATCCTGGGAAAGCCAATAACTGTGATTGCAATCAATATTTAATTAATGATACAGCCTTAGACAGACTTGTCAAGATTCCAACAAAACCACAAATGACATATTTCACAAACCATGTCTTTGCTAATACTGTTTATGGAGAAACGAACTCTGGCACATTTGTTCTGTTGAGCATTAGGTACAATTTGGGACCAGAAACAGAATCTCTCTTTGCATTTAAAGTGAGCTATTGCCAACTTGTGGGTTAAAGGGCTGCTTAATAGGTTAAACAGATATCAAAATAAAATACTGAAATAAAATCACTCAGGATAAATCTTGTCCAATGCAAGATGTTGTCTATTTTCCTCTAAACATTTGGAAAGGTGAAGGTTTCCAGTGTCTTATCATCTAATCCTGATCCTAGTGTGCAACTTTGCCTTTTCAGAAACTCAGATACAAAGAAGACTTTCTTACTAAGAAAATAAGACCACAGGGTAGCAGAGATTTGTTACAGTGATCAAATTTATAGGAACGGCACTGTCATTTTGATGCAGAAATAACAAATCTATCCACTAGAGAGAAGTTCCTGTGGTATTTATCAGTCACTTTATGTGGATACAAAAAGAGACAGAAAGAAAAACGGTCGAATATCAGAGAAAAATGACCTTCATAACTGTCTGTGAAAGTATAAATCCGAGGTAGTAGGTTTGTGTGTGTGGCCGTCCTGCTGGGAGATAGCACATCATTCATCATCTTATTAAAGAAGCTTAAAGGCAGGAAGACAACGGCTGCTTGGACTCGCTTTCCACACAGGCATCATCATTGGATGAAGTGCAAAGTGGGCGGGACATTGTGAGTTTCCTTTCCTCTTTATTGGTGAAATCTCGCTGCTTGCTGGTGACGGCAGCTGATCTCGGGGATTGTGCAGTGTCAGGTGCAGCAGTCAGTCAAGGCTCTGGCTCCCACTCACTGAGTTGGCAACCCGCCCTGAAACTCTCACCCGAAGCCACAAGAGATACCTGCAATTTGTCACCCCTATAAAATAACATTCTCCGTTGAAATTGTCATTTCAAGGCAGAGGAGTTTGTGTTCCTACGGGGAAAGACATGTAACACCGAATCTGTGTTTCTTACAAAGCGTCTTGCTATCAAGAAACCTCAAACTCTCCAAACTCCTAGCCTGATGTTTTTGTAGCATTTGGCAGTGAGAGAGGAAGGTTTTAAAGAAGTCATGTAATCTTCCCCGGCTGCAAAGCTTTCAAACAGTCAGTGTAAAGACTGGCAGGAAAAGCCCCGAGGCCAGCGCATCAATGCTTTGTTTGACGACGGGCTTGGCAGATCGCCAGGGCCTGATTTCTCACACCATGCATGCCACAGCACACCTCAGGCTTAGAGACGCAGACACAGATGGAAAGACTGACGACTGAATCCAAGTCTTGAAATCTCACTTTGTTCCTTTTACAAAGTGTGTCGACCCTTTTGTCAGTCAGGGGTGTGGGGAGCAATTATCATGTAATCCGACTTTTTACACAGTGTTAAATATTTCTCTGTAATTCCCTAACCATTTCTCAGCAGATCCCGTCTATGATCTGAGTAACTTAAAGGGATAGTTTCATTTTTTTCTGAGGTGGGGTTGTATGAGGTTCTTGCCTGTAGTTGGTGTATTAGCCGCAGGAGATGCTGATCACCTCAGACCCTTAGCTGAAAAAGTAGCTTGACCAACCAGAATGAACTGAAGACAGGTCGGCTGTAGAGAAAGTCAATACGTGAATTTTAAAGACTACTTTTTTGGTGTAAGTGAACTGCCCATTTCGTCAGCACTTTACTTTGCTATGAGTAAGCCCATTTATTTCTGCTCTACTACCAAACATGACCCGTTTTGGTAATTTAACATCTCAGTTTGACATTAATTTGAGTTAATGAAGTAGTCCTCTGTTGTTGCCAAATAATTCATGACAGCGGTCATCATGCCTTGACTGGGACTGGGAGTTATGTTGCATTATGGGGTATTTCGGTCAACACTTTGAGCTGCAGCAATATTTTTGCCAATATTTAACTATAAGTGAAAACAGGATCTTTATCCAGAGAGCGATAACTTTCAATGTAGAGACCCAGAGAGAAGTTAGTTTGGTTTGTTGATGCTGCAAAAATACAGAAATAGCAGTATGATTTTGGTGTTCAGTTTGGTGGCATCCAGACAAAGCTCCACGGTTGCACAGAAACTGCACATTGTGGACTTTATCGACATCAAAGACTCTCTAAATCTTATACAAAGGAATTTTTGGTAATTGAAATAAAAATTTAACAGCAAAAAACTAGAAGAATGCAAAGCAGTATAACAAGTAGCTTAGTGCTAAAGTATCCAAGTTTTTACTCTGAATATACAGAAAATGCATGAATGATGGATTTGTTTCATCTTGTACTACAAAAATAAAAGATCCAAAAGAGTTCATCCTGAAAAAAAGTGCAGGGCGGTATTCAGTTTCATCCAGCTTAGATCGGTGTAAAAAGGGATTATTCCTCCTCCTCATCGTTCTGAATTCTAGCAGCCATAGGTCTCTGCTGGTTTGTTCAGAGGATCAGTTACCATTCTGTCACAGCGAATGAGCATGCACGTGTTGTCATTCATCTCCACGTCTCGTCTTGTCTCACACATCTGTCACAGAACATGCAGATGCATGGATCAGTGAGGCGATGCAGTGGTGTAAAGTCATGTGTGACACACCTCGATCAATGGAAACCTCCCTTAAGGCATCGCTTCCTCTCAGCTTAAGTTCCATAAACTAGTTTGTGTTTGGTTTTGAATGTCTGTGGTGCAGCATGCATGTGTAAAATGCACCTAGCTGCATGCTTTCATTGCTGGCCTGTGAGGTCTCCCACATCCCCTGATAAACTCAGCAATCAGTCTTTTCATAGCTTCTTTTTGTCTGGGAGTAATCCAGTGTGACTCTTCTCTCCTTCAGGATCTGTCAACTGTATCACGCACAATCAACATTTACAGTACTTATTGTCATGTTTACGTTCTCCATTAGTCATCACAAACTCGTCTTAGCGCTACAGGAGGCCAGCTTCTCATTGAGCCATATGTAAAGTGTGACTATACTGTGCACCTTTTTTTAATGCCAGGCAAACACGTCTAACTCCGAGCTGCCGCACCAAAACACACACAGGACCAGGGCTAATGCAAACATAATAATAACACACAGAATAAGCAGGGAAGTGAGTGTGACAGGAAACACAAACTGTTTTGTCTGTGTCCTGATTTCTCAAGTGTCCACTGTGACACCTGAGATGTCTCACCGATGCCTGGTCCACATTAGGATTTTTCAGTCTTTACAGATGCTAAAAATAGAAGCAATAATACACATAATCACAAAGGAAATTTAATTAAAAAGGTACATCTTTATTCATTTGTTCAGTCATTACATGTGAGATTAAATATTTGCAGCCTCGTATCAGAAAAATCCGAAATCTAGTTTCTTAAGAAGTTTGACTATTTGTAAGATTAATCAAAAAAGGATTTTAAAACATATTATTGTCTAGCATGTTCATTTATACTCACAGTAGTTTGTTGCAACTTCTTATCATGCATCATAGCAGCGTGGCATAGAGGTAATCCACCTGCAGCACTGCTGAGGTGATTTCATAACTCAGGTTGTTTCAGCTCAGTTGTATTTTTGTGTCAGCTATTAAAACTCCAAAGTCTGGAAAAAAGTAAAAACTTAAATAGAATGAAATGAAATGACATTGAGGTCTTAAATTATATTGATTGAGTCTTAAAATAGTCTTTGAAGGTAGGGCTGGGCCATAATCGAAAATTTACCAATACCGAAATTTACAACAATAACAGACATAATTTTGCGCGTGTCAAAAAAATGAATAAAAGTTGGTCTTGTATGTGTGTAGGTACGCTACGTCAGAGACGTGACTCCACCCCATCCAGTCCGTGACAAAAACTCAAAGACAGGTGAGGAGATGGAGGACGGTTTAAAAGTTGTAGCAGCTGGAGCGTTTGCTGAAGTAGACAAAGTTAATGTGGGAGTGGCTGAGCAGCTTGGGGATTAGAAATCATCCATTTATCGTTATCAAGGTGAACATCTCAATATATTGTGATATTGATTCAAAGCCGTATCGCCCAGCCCGATATGAAGGTCTTGAAATGACCTTCAGGATTTCCTGCTTATATCACTCTAACAGCTTAAATCCACCTGTAGTGAGGCTTAAATCAGTATCCCCTCCCATGCGCACATGAATTTGGAGTGAATGGGTGATTGTTACATGTCATATTAAAGCCCTTTGAGTGGCAGAAGGTCAGAGGAAGAGTTTTTTAATCACTGTTTACTTTTTTTTTTTCTTTAATAAAGGAGAAATTAAAAAGATCCTTGATGCAGTGGACAGCTAACTTTTGAGAGCCTAAATGTCCAAACAAGAGATGCAGGCTTTTGGCGACTGAATAACTTCAATTTAGATTATGCTGCACATTTTAAATGCAGAGAGCAAACAGCTGAAATAAATTCATCAGGCTGTATGTTGACAAATGATGGTAGTTATTGATAAAGACTTTATCAAAGTGCCAACATGTAGAACGGAGCCCGGAAGCTTCTTGGCAAAATCGAGATGTTATCTTGAATTTCTGTGTTGACACAGGAGTGACAGACACACACACACACACACACACACACACACACACACACACACACACACATACGCACACACACACACACACACATACGCACACTCGGTTTTTTTGGAAAAAAAAAATGCTGGGAGTCCGTGATAGTCTCTCCTGCCTGAACAATATGATTATGTGCGGCTGAGTGTGTCTAAGATTATGAAACAGGGCATCGTCAAACAGTAGCTTATTTACTCTGCAAAGCTCCCTTTGATGAGGAAAGGTTAAGACAACAAACAAGTCATGGAGACACACAGATGTGCATTATACAGAAGATGTGTGCACAGGTGCAAACACATAACTGCTGCTGGGTGACTCTGAAGAATTAATGAACAGTAATGACTTCTGGCTTTGCTGACGGTTACTTCAGATGTGGCTGAACATTAATTTGATCCTGTCATCCTCACCCTTCTTAATAACAACCAAGCGGAAACAGCACTTAATAAAATGTCGTATTAAACATTACATGACCATGACCCGTGTTTGTTCATACAGCGTTTGAACATAATGGTTGGGCTGGGTTATTTCTGGTTTGAGTACTACCCGGAATCAAAATGAGTCTGTCGTAATTTCATCCTAATAAACTTCAAATGTGTCGTTTAACATGAAGTACATAAAGAAATACTGCATAAGGCTGCTTTTTACATCAACCTGCCTCTTTTATAGATGCTTAGTGTCAGGATGAAAAGTTTCTGTGAGAGCTGATGGAAATATAAGCGCTTTTGGACATTTGTATTGGTTTAACCCCAGAACATACACCATGGCACTGTGCAATGGAAATATTCATGCAGAACAGCATGAGAAGAAGCAGACGATGATTGGCAGGGCCCTCTGCAGTGCAGACCAGCCGGCCCTCACTGGCTGACGGGCCTGCTGGCCAACTGGTTTGGGGTTTTCCTCGTCTGCAGCTGGAAAGGACAGAGACACAGGGGTGAGGAGAATGTGCTGGGGTGAGTGAAAATAGAGCGAAAGAGAGGTTAGGAGAATGGCAGATGGAGCATGGTGCCAGCGATTTGCTCTGCTGTTACTTTGGGATCTTTAATAAACACATCGATAGTCTTGCTTTGTCTCCAATTTTCTTCCTTTCTTCTGTGGTTGCCAGGCCTACGGAGGCGAGGAACACTGTTGAGGGTAAAGATAACAACTAGGAACTATTTCTAAGGAAATCAAAGTCACCAGTTCTGAAGGACAAGCTGAGGACATTTACATTGAGTGGAAGACACTTAGCTTAGTTGTCTTCATATTTAAGATACAATGGCTAATTAGGCTGATCTGTTTGCTGCAGGTCAAAAGTTCAAACAGACTGCAAATTAACAAACAATGCAAATTCTTAAACATGCAAAAGTGTGATATATGCAAAAGTAGAAAAAGGCTGCAAATGAAAAACAAGCCACATATGAGAAGAATCAAATATGATTCTATAGGAAATGAATGAGGATCATACTCTTGCTACTTAAGCTCTCTCCTGACTCTCTCTATTCCTACTCCTGAAACCAAAGATTCTGCATCTCTGCTGCTGTAAACTAAGTCAGACGGTGCACAGTGAGCAGTGAGTGGCTGAGCGACAGAGTGAGAGGAATGTTAAAAGAATGCAAAGCAGAGTAAAGATGTATCCAGTACGGCAGTGTACCTAAATTTAACAACATATACAAGGTCATTTTTAAAACATAAAGGGTCAAATGCAGTGTCCCTCCTGAAGAAACATTAAGTGTTGTACGTGCACTTCGTGTTTGTTCACAAAGGTTTCATTTAGGGTGGTGCAGAGGCTTGGTAGGGTGTTTTTAAGACTTAGCTAAAACCAGTTAAGGGTTAGTTAAATATGAAATAAAGGGTGAAATAAAGGCTACGTTAAGGGCGTGTCAAAGCTAAGTCAAAGCTTAGTTAAGAGTGTGATGCAGGCTAGTTATAGCTTAGTTAAGAGTGTAATAAAGACTTACTTAAAGCTTAGAGGTGGGTGTAAAAAAGGTTGAGTTTAGTCTTAGTTAAATATGTCATGAAGGTTTACTTTCAAAAGTAGTAGGTTTTTGTAAAACTCCTTGTCATGAATCAAGATAATAAAGAAGATTGATAATTTATCAGTTCTTATGTTTCACATTGATCAGTCAGGGGTCAGTATCAGCTCCGTCTCAGACATTAAGAGAAAGCACTTTTACTTAATTCCTTTCTTCACTTGTCAACCGCCTTGACCTGGAAACACTCCGTCTGTAACCTGCTGAACTCACTCCATTCATTCCTCCCCCTTAACAACCCACACCCGCCCATTCTCAGACACTGCAGCTGTCCGGTCTTCCTCTGGGGTCAAAAGGAACATCCTAATGCTCATCCCACTTGAGACTGGCACCTGTTGGAGCGTCTTAGCCCTGCCTTCATAAAGACAACAGAGAATTCAATAAAACAGGCTTAGAGGCACGAGGCCGGATGGTGCCTCTGTTCACCACACTCTCACCACTTTCTTCCTCCTCCCCACCGCCATGAGACCGTGAAGTAGATGGCCTCGCACTTCTGAGTAGCAGATGGTTTGATGACAAAGACATTAAAGAAAAAAAAACACCACTAAATGGAAAACGCCGCATTGTTTGACCTATAGTGTTTGTACGATGCGCGTGTTGCTCCTGGAGGGGTTCTCCATGCTCAGACTTGTCAAACAGTGGAAACAGTTGTTGGAAATTTGGCAACCGACTTCTCAGTCTGTGTGTAGATTAAAATGAATCTGTCTGTAGGGCTTTATATGAAGATAAGATCATAAAGAGCAAATGTAAAACCATCAATTTATACACCTGCTTGTCAGTGTCGATTTTATAGGTGTGATTTCTAAAAACAGACGGAGTTGACGTGTTGCCAACAACTGTCTCCGTCTCTCTCTAGCAGTTTTGATCCCTATAAATGAGGTATAAACCAAAAGTGCACGGCAAATATTGTGCAAAGCATGTGTCAGTATGGAGCAGCCTGCCAGCTTTAACCCATTGAACCTGTTTCTGCCAGTTTGACGGCTCACTTCCTCATATCGCTGTCTTAATTTGAGATTAATGTGCGCTCAGCTGTCCAAAAGTGTAATTAGAGGGCAGATGGATCCTTCTGTTGAGTTTTTTACGCCGAGGCTGAAAGAAAATATGTTTAATTGTGACTCTGACAATGTGTGAGTCATTGCTCTGATCCTTTGGTTCATTAAAGCTAATCCCTGCCACAAAGACCAATGACGGAGAGATTTACTGTAGTCTGGGAGGTCTGCTTTAAAGCAGTCTAATGAGCCTGTGTGCATGCGTGTGTGTATTGTCCCCATGATGTAACTTTTTTCCCCTCTTACATCGTGTTTCTGTGTCCCCTCTCCAAGCTGTCACTCACAGCCCTGCGCTCCACTCGTAATTAACTGCAGTTGTTAATGGGCTCAAGAAGAATTTAGCTTGTAAGCTGATCCCACAATTAGGGCTTGTTGACTTTGCATAAATGTTAGGGGGGTGCCCTCCCCTGGGGCGCAGGGGCAGGAGAAGGGCGTCTTTGAGGGGCAGGGTGGACCTCCTTAGATGTGTGAAGGGGAAGTGGGGTCTCAAACACACACACACACACAGAGGACCCAATTCCAATAGACTTCCCCAGAATCCCTCAGAGTGAGACCCCACAGATCAGCAAATGTGGATCCTCAAGAGCTGACTCTGCAGGATTATTTAAAAGATGATTATAATGGGATCTAATATTCAATGAGAAGTGATACTTGGTGTCTAAAAGTTATATAACAATTAGAAATATGAGTGTATGTTTAAAAATAGTTTTTGTCTGTTTCTGTCTCTCACTTTCACTGCCAGGTCTTCCCTTGAAAAGAGGTTTTTCCGGGTGTAATCAGCTGACAGCCTGCTAGTCATATCATTCTTTCTAATCACTCACAAGCCAATCACTTCCCCTTCTGCAAGAAGGTCAGTTTAAGCCGGGCAGCGAACCTCTGGATTTTGGAAATAAAGCCAGTGCAACTAGAAACTGCAGTTTCTGTTTTAGGCTGCCTGCAGAAGCCCAGCAACCACATACATATGCATTAAAAATTCAGTTTTCAGAGCAAAAATAAACATGATTACAGCCTGGTTCAGAAGAAGGTTTTGGTCTGACTAGCTGAGTCCCCTTACTGTATGGGGAAGTGGGACGAATATAGTATGGTTATGAGTTTGGTAAATCAGAGGCTAACTTGGCTCTGCTGGAAAGTGTATAGCAATAGACGGTAAAACCTAATACTGTAGTGTACCTGACTTGCTAATATTTTAATTTTCGTACCAAGCAATAATTTTCTGGGCGATAAACTGAAAATTACCTATAGCGAAATTTACTGCAATAGCCAACATCATTTTGCCCATATCGGTATATTTGGTGTCAAATAAATCAAAGCTGGTTTTGGTTGTGTGTAGGTAGGCTATGGTCTCATGTCCCTTTAAGACACTGTCCTAGACGTGACTCCATCCCATCCAGTCCATAACAAAGAAGGAAAGACAGGTGAGGAGATGGAGGACGGTTCAAAAGTTGTAACAGCTAGTTAAGTTAATGTGGGAGGGGCTGAGCAGCTTGAGGGGTAGTTATCATTCATTTATTGTTATTAAGGTGAACTGCCCAATATATCGTGAAATTGATTTGAGGCCGCATCGCCCAGCCCTAGTCAGAACCCGTATTTGTTTACTGAAACTTCTAGGATCCTCACACAGATCGATGTAATTTCCTGGAAAACCATTCTATGTAATTACCTTTTTCCTTTTTCTGGATGCTGCAAGTTGCGACAAGTGCAGGAGCTCCTCTATTTCACTCCTTATTCGTTGCTCAACAGAGAAAATGATTCAGCAACAGAGTGAAACATTTTTGTAAAAGAAGAGACATATTATCTAGCACATGTCAACCCATCTTTCAGGCCGAAATGATTCACACGGAGAACTCCATATTGCTCGAAAATCAGTCCTTAGAAACCCTAAAAAACGTTGAAAACCTGAACTTGAATCCATTCAAACTAGACTACCAGAGTGCATGCAACTAAGCCTATACAAATGCATGCTCACTTCACTTTAAATGACCAATATGAGGTTTTATTGAGCTGTCCTTCAACACTGTTAAGTCTATTAGAGGCCACTTGTTGTATGACTCTTCATGCAAATTGATGATTTGATCTAAACCCCTGCTCCCAACATATCCTTGTATCAAAGAGGTTTTTCACGTGTTATCATGCTGCAGCACATGCAGGTGAACTCTTCACCACTTCATAATTCAGCGAGCATCCAGTGACATGTTTGACAGGCTTGTTTTATTATTAGTTCATCAAGTTCTTGGATTGTTTGTTTTGAGGATGTTGTCGTGAGGATGAGAAACAGTCAGATAAAACAGATGAAAAGAGTTTGCCTGAATGTTAAATTTTTCAACCAGCATGTCTTAGAAACTCCAGGTCTCCAAGTATGCAAGTTCACCACAAAGATTCACAGTATGTCTCCTTACAATGCCAGCTCTCAAATGTTGTTTTTTTCAATGGGAAACCGCAAATGACTCAAATTTCTGCTTATGAAATTCTGAGTCATGTTGGTTCAGCACTGTGGTCACTCCCATGTTTTCTTCAGGGATGTTTTGCTTTATTTCGTGCCACTTTTTTATATATGGCTATTATATCATCTTTCCCACAGAGACTCAACTCAAATTTACAGGAAAGCAAATCGATATTTAGTCAAGTTATCACCGAGAGGAAAGCTGAGATCGACCTGCAGTGAGTGGGTGTGAGATCCGAGTGTTGCTGCACGGTGATGAATTACTGCAGCTGAATTTTGCTAATGATCATTACAGAGAAGCAAAAAGATGTATCCAACATCAGCATTTCTTAATTACAGTTGTTTCCTGTGGAAATTCTCTGTTGACAAAAACGGGGGGAAACAATCAATCAGGGAAAACAGAGGGAGAAGGAGAGACTCAGTGAAGCAGGGAAGGAACTCTCGGAGGATGGATTTCATCATCTGTGCTGGATTTTCACCTATCTTGAGGGTGTCTGAGTGTATGTACGCACATGTCGGAAACAGTGGAGGGAGTGACGCGCGCTTAAAGTAAGGAAGTGTGAGAAAGACATCTCCAGGTTATCTGCCCGCTAAATCCCCTGCAGCCTATATGCTAGTGGCTACATGCTGCTCGGAGAGGTGTAATGCTCTGCCAGCTGTGTCAGTGCGAGAAACACACACATATGAGCTCACGTAAATGCATACAAAGTGAATCATAAACTGACGCATGTACTATTAACCCTGTGGTATAAAGGGCTGCAGCTGCTGTAGATTAGCTTATTAAAACTAAAGATTTCAACAAATAACTCTGCAGATTAGCAAGCTTATCATTCAGCTCACGGCTTTGTGAGCTTTGTTTTGATTGCATCTCCCTCAGCAGATGACTGTCTAATATATGTCTGGTTCTGCTTGACGTTTCTACCTGTTAAATAAAGTTTTTCTTAACTTGTTAAATTCTGCAAATTTCTGCACTCATGATGGTCAGTGGTTTACGTGGACATGGTGGCCTGAGACCGAGCCAAATCCCGACCTGACTTATCGTCCCGGTTTGCCCCAGCATATTACTTTAAATAAATACTGAAGTCGCTCCCTGTCATCTGAATCTAATAAGCAGCTGTTTGCTATGATTATATAAATTGCCATAAATACATCAACCCTGTGGATCAAGTTTACACAACTGCCAGGCAGTCGGAAAGAAGTCAGGCTTGGTTGATGTCATCCCTGAAACTTGCATTCACCTGTCACACAGCCTGTTACTAAGAGTGACAGAGACGCTCAAAAGTTCCCCTTACAATAGAACATCCAGAGTGTGCTGCAGTTAAAGGGATCATTACTTTATCATTTCCTTGAAGTAACAATCACCATATTAAACAGTTTGCACTGCAGACGCGGTAGTTCTTCTGCCTTAGCGTCTCAGTCTGATTGCATTTCCCTGAAGAAATGATCATAAATGTTCTTCCTTGGGCTGCGTCACCCCGCTGCAGACTTGTCTGAGGTCTCTGTACAAACAAGCAGCTGCTGGAGGTGAGTGGGTGAGTTGTGTTTAGTCTCCTTGCTAAAGAAATCAGGCAAAGTTCAAAAGATGTTTGGTGGCTAGTGCAATGGCTAGGACCCTATATGTCCTGTTGATGGGGTTAGGTGCTGTTATGAGAATTATTTGTGGCTATAGAGTGGCTTCTTGGTTGAGTGTGTGAAGACAAGACCACTGTGTATTGCTATTGTGCGGTCGTTACTAAAGTTGGTATAACTAACTAGGGAAGCAAACGGTTGTCAAAATTCTTCTTTTGTCGGGCTGTCTAACTTGGTGTAATCGTGTGTTTGACCTTAACTTAATTTTACACCAGACTATCCCTTTAAATCACTATGAGGTAGGGCTGGGCAATATAACGATAATTATATATCAAAAATTAATTTCCCTCGACACTGATATGAAACATGGTCAATATGCTTTTTGACAGCCGGCATTTTGCCATGTTTTGGTAGGCTATACGAATAGCTAATGAAAAGAGAAGTTGCTCCGGGTTCGCACTGCGCTGAACCGACCATTCAGTCCACTTTTTCTAACGCAATGTTTTACGACAAAATGTGGAAGAGACACAAAGACCTCACAGATGCAGTAGCTTATTGTATTGCAAAAGACATGCTACCAATAAGCAATGTTAAATTTAATTTAAGAGTAACAGGGAACATTTAACATTGACGTGTTTTTTTTTTTTTTTTTATATATATATATATATATATATATTGTGATATATATCGATATCGACTGATATGAAAAAATTGTGATTAACTTTTTCCCATATCACCCAGCCCTACTACAAGGCTTTCTGTGGAGGAATGTTTACCTCTTACCTCTTAGAGCACATAAAAAAGAAAACTCAAACGTTTATTTACAGAGGGAAATGAATAGTTTTGCAGCCAGTAGCTTCTTCGGCTTGTGGTGGTTTTGCATGTGATGGAAAAGAATAATTGTCAGACCAATTATTCTTTTAAATCCTCATAATGTTTCAAACATGCACAATCCAATCAGGCTTTATCCTTCTGCCACTCTGTTCCCTACCCACCCACCGCGCTCTCTGCAGCGTGAAAAGGCCGGGATTAACCTTGGATTTGAAGCAGGCTGCATGCCCATACACTCACCAATCCCTCTGTCAGACCCACCCTCATGAGCTCATCTTTCTAATGAATGAGAAGGGTCACAGGTGAGCTCTCACGCAGGTAGAGTGACACACACACCAAAAAAAAGGGCTCAAACAGGCATTAATGTGAGTGTTTTAACACACATACTAACAACACAACTCTCTTTGTGAGTTTAGTCAGATCTGTTCGTATCTTAGCTCTCTGTCAAAGGCCGCTCTGCTGAGGAGGAGGTGATATCAAACAAACAGCAGCACTGACAGGGAGCGTACACTAACCTCACACACTGCTCACACACTCAAAGACAGAGCCTGGCTGAATATTAAAGCGCTTTAGCTGAATTGTCTTTATTAAAGCCATTCCTCTGAGACAAAGTCTGTCTGGCTTGAAGCAGAGAACCATGATTTTTCACAACTTCTTCGGGGAGGGAAAAGATTAGCAAGTCTAGCTGCTGAGAAACTTGGTCTGTAACTCTGCATTCTCTCATACGCATACAAATTAGCAGATAATCTCACAGCTTTAATGATGTTGTTGCTCTGAGTACATGTAATCCAAGCATATAATTCACATACTCTGCTCCAAATGTTCTTTTGCTGTCTTAAATGGCAGCCTCACTCCACACTTACGAAGACTGTTCGCATCTTTTGGAGTGTTTCCTTTTGATTCTCCAGAGGATGACAAAGCTGGTGAGTCCTGTTTCTGCTCTGGAAGTGGTCCAAATATCACAGGATGAAGTATTTTAATTTATGCACACAGTTTATAGAGCTGAACTGTAGTACAGAGTTCACTTAAAGTCCCACTCCGATCGTTTTTTTTACGACTCAAAGTGTAATCAGTGGTCTTTTAATCGTGATTATAGAGTTTTTTAGCCAAAATTACATTACCTGTGTCATTATCAAGGGCTTTTCTTCTGCAGAGCTCCAGTAGCTCATTTGCAATTCACCTCTGTTTTGCACACTCCTCCTCATGCTAGCTTGTAGCCTATCATTGCCTGTGTAGTAGAAGTGGCAGGTAACATAGTAGTTATTCAGCTCTCAGAACGCACAGGCTTGTTCCACGATCATCCTCTCTATTTTTCTGAGTCTGGCCTAGCAGGGCCCCGGGGGCGGAGCTTGGATTGGTGATGTAGGAAATCTCACTGTGTCTGAACCTGCTGTTTGGGTCTTCAAGACATTCACAGCGATTTGAATAAAGAAATACTCAGAAATGCAATTTCACACTTTTCTCGTGATATGTCCTGTAGCATCAGAAAAATGCCACGTGAACATGTAGACAACAAGAAAAACATGATTTCCATCAGAGTAGGTCTTTAAATCAAATGATTTCTTGTGTTGGAGCTTCTTAAAGTTCGCTAAATTTGATTGGCAGACTTGACCCTGTCTGCTGAAACTGTAGCCTAGCTTGCGTGTTAATTCCCTGGCTGTTTCTCATATTAAAACGTTTCAAATGACTTTGCAAAGTAGAGTTGTTTCAGTTAGAGTTAGCTTATTGCTCCTGCATCTAGTACAAAGACATCCCTCCATTATCAGTTCGCCCCTCATGGACTGTTGGCCTACTTGACATTTTCTGAAATGGCTGTAACCTTTTAATAATCTCGTCATATTTTAAATGTCAGATTAAACAGATTGATTTTGGATTCATTCTTTTTACAACAAAATTGCATTTTTACATTCTTAAAAAAACAGGATCCAGTATTTTTTACAGCTTCAATAACACCAGGAAATATAAGTCAGGATATAGTATCACCCTCTGCTGCATCATCCTTAACAAAGTCTCTTTCTAAAACCGTCTCCTGGATGACTCGAACACACCCATACGCACACATATATTCACGCACACATATGCTTGTCTAGAAGTGTGATCTACTGTTGAGATAGTGCTTATTAGTGTCCTGTAAATCTTCTCTTCCTCCCAGAGGGGCCCTAAGTCGTAATTTACAGCCACACATGCTGCTGCTGTTGTTCAGGTCGCAGCCGCTGGAAGTTTGTGGAGGCCGAAAGCTGCTCGATGCAAACTCATGCTGAAGATGATAAGATTAAGAGACTGTGTGGTACTGCACATATTAATGAGGATTAACCTCTGAGTCACTCAAAGTCAGACTCTTGTTTTCAGTCATTTTAGATAAAAAATATTAAATATAATCAATCACCACATTGATAAAACATTTAAATGCATTTACAAGGATTTATAATAATCTTTTCTAAGTTATAGCAAGGTTTATAAAGTGTTAAAAGCGCTCAGCATATTACTTTATAAAGGTACAGTTTTATGCATTACATTATACCTTAATGCAATCCTTCAAAATCAAAGTTTTCTTAACTCCCTTAACTTTATCCAGTTTTAAAAGTTTATTAAAAAGTCATCCAGTGTATCAGCAGAAGTTATAATTTCTATGATTTTCAGATGGCTTATTAATACTTAAACTATACTTGCACTAGTGTATTGAATATAATAAACATATGAATATATACATTTAGCATCTTTCTTAATCAACCTTGTGCTGCATTACAAGGATCTGAAATGGTTCTTAAAATGTTTGCCTCACTCACACACACTTGTTTCAATCAAAAGACGCTGAATATGCACTAAAATCGAACTCTTACAAACGTGTTTTGCAAACATATAAATGGACAGTCTTTTAGCTTTTGGATCGTCCTTTAGTTTACTCAGTCAGTGGTTAATAAGTTTGATAAAATTCTTATTTTTTATTATTTTTAAAGATGTATTTTGATAATTTCAATGAAGTAAATATGTAGTTTTTCTTACAATTCTTACAGCATTCTTCTTACAACAGAATGTGCTGCTACTTTACTTCAAGCCCCAATGCCATACTAAAGAATATTTTAAGTATTAATAAGACATCCCCTTATTTAAGAGTTATATAATTTCTTTTATGTTAAATGAGTTTTCAATAAATTTGTATGACTTGATAAAGGTGAAGGATTTGAAACCGCAGATTCAAAAGACACCATCTTGTATTCACATGTAGTGTCATATAAAGATATTCAGTTAATTTTGTTTTGAGGTAAAATTAATTATGAATCATACCTCAATAAGTAAATCATACTGGCCCAAGTCTAACCAAAGTACTGTTTCCCAAAGAGAAGAAGTACACAGAGTACTGCAAGAGCAAAATTACAACAATCATCACATACCAGCACCTCCAAAGAGAAAAAGGAGGGAGGGTAAGAGAGAGAGAGAGGAGTTACAAGTTGAGGAAATAGAGGGTTAAAAGGAGGAGAAGAGGAGGGTGAAGAGGAGATAAATCTTCTCTGCAGGCCTGTCAGAGTTGAAACATGACATTTATGTGGACTAGTATGGGCCATAACTCTAATAATGGCTCCGGAAAATGCAGACTATTTGTAAAATGACGTGAGGAGGGGATCGCTGTAGAAGGGTGAGTGACAGTGAAGCAACACACAAAGCCTGAGAATAAACCTGTAATCTGGGGTATCGGATTCAACGTGCTGGCGAAACGGCGTGCTGCGAGTGAATGGAGTCTTTGTGAGGAGCGCGGCTCACGGGCTCATTTGCATGCAGTGATAAACGTTGTTTACACTGGACATACAGCTCTGTGAAGTGGTAGGTAAACGCAGCAGGAATGATAGATTAACCGCCTCACATGGGAGCCAGACAGTTATGTAGTACGCTCAAACACACATACATACGCAGCTGCACATATACACACACACTCACACAGGCCAATTCATGCAACAGGTATGCAAACATAAGCTAAACAGAGACAGATATGCAAACACACATGCATTCATATGGACACACACACTCACATATGAAACAGTATCCATCCTCCTGGTGATAAATGCCTCCTTCTTTCCACTATGGCTGATGTTCATATTTCCAGACAATCTGTCAACATTACGCTCAAACAATGTTTATTTTCTCCATGTAGATTTGATAAACACATAGAAATAAGCCCGAGCTCTGGGTGGAGGAGAGTGGAGGAGGTTGGGAAGGGGGTGCAAAGGGCCAACCAGGTTCCATGGCCTCTCTCCAGGTTGAGGAATCCCCTCTGTAAGCAGACACGGCAGGCTGCGGGGAGGCGACCCGGGGCCATGCAGAGTCTCAGTTCCATTTAAGGAGCCGAGGGTGATTTGTCATCTTGCGGGGGCGACAGACAGGAGGCTGGCAGTGTGTCGTTGGAGGGAGGGTGAGGGTGAGGGTGTCAGACGGGGGCAGCGATTTGAGGCAGTAAACGGGTTTCGGGTCAGTTGCATCGCACAGTGGGGCCAGTCACTTAGTCCCATAACTGGACAGGAGAGAGGGGACAGGATGGAGTCAGTGGGTGTGGAGTGTGGAGGCATGGGGGGCAAACTATGAACCTCCAGGTCAGAAATAGCAACTCACCCCTCTGTGAAATCGAGTTTTTATAGTTCAAAGCAAGGCTGGGTATGTTTGTTTTTATGCCAGGTAATGATGTTTGCACTGCAGTGGGTGGAGAGAGCAGACTGCAATCCACCTGACGAGTTCTTGGATGACGCTGGAGGACTTTCATGGCTGCCTTCTGATGAGTCAGACCTGTCACCCCGTCTCTCAGATGTCTCTGTGTGACGATAACATGACAACCACGAAGCCCGACATCCCCTCACTGCGGGCCATCTGACCCCCCTCGTGTGAAGCCTCCCTCTGTCGGCGGGAGAAATAATATTGGATTTCCTTGTTTCCCACAGAGACTCATGACGGTGGAGCTATGAGGGGTCAGACATTTTTCTCATGTGCTAGCAGCCGGCTACTGCCGTGAAGGGCCAATAAATCAGCTGGAGATAAACACACAGACGGTGACTGAGTGAAGAGGAGCAACAAATGACAGCACAAGTCAACCACTGTTAAGTGGGATGTGTTGGATGGTGATGATGCAGGACAGCAAGGGGGCGATTGATTGATTGCAGTTGTAATATCTAGTATTGACAGCAATATCAGCCGTATTTAGCAATTGAGAGCATAACCCAGTATCTGTGTCTCTAAGATGGGTCCATTTAATCCAAGCTGCATTTTAAAACCAGCCAAAGATTGTTTATTAAAGGAGATGCTTCACTCTCAAACACCACTTAAGACTGTTTTCTTCTCAGCTGACACAAACTACCTGACAGCAGCAAGTTTGTTTCAAAGGTTAAAATCTCTCAAACTTTGAAAACAAACACTAAAATGTTAAAATGGAATTACACAATCAACGGAAGCAGTTACACTAGGAAACCTTCACATTAAAGTTCCAGTCCATCTCTCTACTTTTAAGTAGTTTTCACTCAGAAAGATAAAAACATGTCCTCTGTTTGTCCGTCATACTTTTCCAATGTCACTTTTTAATTTAAAGCCTCCATGTTACAGTAGATTTAGAGTCCACGGTCCGGCTGGCTGATGATTGTAAACGCAGGCTTGAGGACGAGTTTGCTCTGAGATCTACATTTTTAGGCACATGTGCAGACACACACACACAAACACACACACATGCATGTGCACAGATGCTCATGCACACACTTGACTTGATTTAGCTGGCTCTGACAGAGTCTTGATTGGTGTCTCTGTCTCTGGGTGGGCTGATTTAAAGTGTCCCTCAGGTCTCGTTCCAGGTAGAGAGACAGACAGGGGTCTGAAACTCCCTCCATCCCCCAGCACCCACTCCCACTTTGGCTACAAGCAAGAAGAACTCCCCCTTCCTCTTCCTCCTCCTCCTCCTCATCCAGCATCCATGCTTTCTCACACTGGCTGGAGCTGTCTGGGTCTTTAGGTTGTGAGGATTTCTCACCCGTCCTCAACAAGCTGCTGTGCATTCCAGCAGCAGCAGCAGCAGCAGCTTATTATTGGAGGGAATTTATAGGGCCATTCATTTAACTGGATCCGAATGACATCGGTTCTGGATGAGTGACGCTGGGGCAAACTGCCGGGCCATGTGGTCCAGGGAAAACAGAGCAGGAGATAAATCATACAACCAAGGGGGGAAAGAGAGGTGGAGGGTGGGGAGGTGGGAGACAGAGAGAGAGAGAAAGAGGGAGGAATGGGGGAACAGAGGGAAAGAGAGAGGTCAAACAAGAGGGACGAAGAAATGAAATAAAAAGGTGAGAAGGACGTCTGTTGGGTTGGGCCGCTCTGACCCGGACACTATGAGCACCTTGAGTTAACCAGTCTGGACTTAAAGATCTCAGTCTGTGCTTGGCTCCCATGGTGTAGGTTTTTCAGTACATGTATTTGCCCTTGTTTCCTTTGACTCAGGGGGGTTGACCAGTTCATTCTCATGTGCATTTAGAGGATGACACAGACACAAACTCAGTGACTCTTTTCCTGCGACTGTGCACATTCAGGAATGTTAAAATGTAAAGACAGGAAGTTCACTTCACACCCAGGGGGGACTAACATGCTTATTAACGCATGTGTCTGTGTCTCACTACCTGTGATCACAGGTGTCATGTTGGTAATCACTGAGGACAAAATAAAGACAGAGAGTTGTATTGAGAGTCTGGACCATTTTCTTATTAACATCAAAATACTGAAGGTAAAATTTCTATGTTACCTTTACTGAGTTTATTTCATCTTTAAGATTAGAGCTTCTATAAAAACCTTTGTTGAAAATCTAGGCAAGAAAAATTGATGGCAGTAAATTGATGTGTGATCCTGCTCTTACGAGTATTTTAGTGGCTCTGATCTTGTCTTTCAAAATGCACACCTGCTGTAGTTGATGTGTAAATAGAAAATTTCTTATCAGACATTCACACAGTGTAGGGTTCAGTTAAACTAATTAAAGTACAAATGTTTCCAACCCTCAATTTCCTGCATTCTGGTAAATAATCAAACAAGGTCCAACACCCAAATGTTCCTGTGCCTCAAGAGCGTCAGCTGTGCACGTGCTCACAGGGATCTATTGTAACCAGACAATGCATTAGTCCTTTTTTCTGCATCGGATCCATGTTTTAATGAGATCTGATCTTTTATTCTCATTTATATGAGAAAATGGCATCTAGATTTTCTGACCTTTAATTCCCTGGACGGCACATTTTTGTGTTTTTTATACTGAAATAGAATCTATAGGGCACTTTTTTCTGTTTTATTGCATGGATGGGCAAACAGAGGGCCCTTTTTTTACTTTTACATAATGGAAGAGTATCCAGTGAGGACTTTGTCATGCTTGTCATCCTGGAAACATCAATTTTATGGATCACCCAATTATAATGTTTTACAGTTAAGAGTTAGCATAAATATCAGTGATGTTAAGTCTACCGCATAACCCAGTGTCTTTGTCATCTCTATCCTAAAGATGATTCCACTTTTTTCTGATGTATGTAGAGTAAAATAACCTCCATCTGCTGTTCATTCAATAGAATAGGAAAAAATCATAATAGTGCAGCAATTTTTGAGTTTGAGTTATTGGAGCAGACTCGAGGTCTTTTGTGTGAACAAATAGTTTGGCTCGATGTGAATGCAAAGCGGTAAAATTCATTTGAAGTCTCATATTCTTGAATGCGAGGCTCATAAAGAGCATATCAAACACATTTATAGCTCCATAAAGCATGGCGAGTTTCATCTGGGGATCTATTAAGCGTTTCATCTCATACCAACATGTGATCCGAGCCCTCGTTGTATGTGAAAACAAATGTGATCTGGTGCTACCAAGTAATGTAGTCCCCTGTTACCCATGTGATATTTTCCACATTTAAATTGGAACGTATGATATGGAGCCTTGAGTGGTAACTCGAGTCCTGTTTACTCAGCCAAGCCTAATGCAAACAATCCTGCACACGCACGCACACACACAATCGTTTACACACAAAAACACACACTGCACTAAGTGACTGACACTGACGGCTGTCACAAGCTGCTGGGTTGAAGGGTGAGAAGGGCAGATAATCCCTGTCCGCAGTAATGACCTGCCTTCAAAGCAAACTTTCCTACACACACACACACACACACATGCACTCACACTCATGTAGATGCAGAAACCTCAGAATACACAAACCTCTCTGTACTATCTAGGCTGAAAATCTTTTTATTCTCACAGAAAAGACGATTTTCATGCTTCAATTAAACTCTCTTCAGTATTTCACCAGCAGGCCTAAAGGGGGCGCTGTGATTTCAGTCAAACTTGAATCATCATCGACTGTGTGTCCACAAAAAGTAATGGAATAAGGCGTCTCATTTCTCATCAGTTGTGACAGTGAGGTTTATTTTCATGTTTTGGAGATTGTGACATTTCATCAGTCATCATTTGCTTTCTTTACACAACATGGCTGCAAAAACACACACATACACAAACAAGCTTAACAAAAAGTGAAGTGAAGCTCCAAACACTAAACATTTTTCTAAAACTTTTTCCGCAATTTCTTATTTAAAAAACGTTGTTTTTCTGCGCCCATGTTAAACACACTCACGAATATGAACCATGCACTCCAACTTCAAAACTCTGCCGCAGTTATCACACACACAGGAAGAGTGTGTGTGGGTCAGTAAGTGGGAAAAGGTGGAGTGTGTGCAGCAGCAGAGAGACCAAGCAGATTTTCTGTTTCTGTTTTGCACAGAACAACTACGATTTCTAAAATTCTATATATTTTACATATTGATTAAACTTAAGGGTAATTGCAGTTTATATAAAGTCCAAAATTAATGCATTATCTTCTGATGTTTTGGCCCCTAAAGCACACTGCAGAGAAGCTGCCATAGCTTAATCCTGATTCCTGCACAACAGTGTTTATGAATCATAAAGTTCACTTGAAGACAAACTACCAGATAATTCTGCAAAAGCAAATTACACTTCGTGAGCTAAAACCTGCAAGTTCAGAGTACAGGTGCAGCTTATCAGACTGATGTCAGCGTGCAACTGCATCACAAAAGTCTACGAAGAATATTTTGTAGAGTGAGAATCACCTCAGAGCTGTGGATGAGACTAAACTGAAGGATTAAGAATTTTGCTTTAGTTATAGTTGGAAACTAACTGCAGGTCAGTCGACATCTCCGGGACATCTCGAGTTTGCACGCTCTGACCAGTCTCCAATGTGTGAAGCCGTCTGCTGACTCTGAGTCATGGTTTGAGTCACACTGGGGCATCAGTGCAGCGTTCATATAAATAATAAATCAAGAAGTAAAGGTCATGAAGTGGATTATATTGTATCAGTTTGATTCTGAAATCAAGGTGCTTAAAAAACGGAAATAAAATGAGTTTTTAAAATGGAATTAACAATGTGATTTATTGCAATTAAATCACTGCAATTTTTAAATTTAAAATCTGTATAATTAAAAACTCTGCAGACATCTTATGTCATATTTGCATTCAGCCTGGATATTTATTCGGTCCCAACTGCAATTTAAAAAACTCTGTAGGCTTTTAAACATCTTTGTAGGAAGATTGCTTTAAGAACTGACAGTAGGACGGTAGTTTATACGAAATGCGTTTAAGGTTCTTCCCCCATTTGTGAGGTTAAATACTTTTTTTGTGACGTGCAAATTAACAAATATTTATTTAAATTATGGTATCCAGTACTGAAAAAAACGCCTCTTCAGCCAGACAAGTTTTTAAGATATGATTAAAAAAAATTTATTCACTTTAAACCTGAAATCCAAATTTTATCTCTGACCTCTTACATTCATTAAAAACTACTGTAATTTGTTTTTTTAATCACTTTTTATGGCTTTACTTTCTGTAGCAAATATTCCGAGCAGCTGAAGGCCTGGCAGAGTCGCCCTTCTGAGGTCCACTCAGCGCAGCCTCCAGAGGCCTGACCCGAGCCCCTCTGCCAGGTGTGTCCAGCTGAAAGCATTCCTTCACTGGGTGGGTGTGTCGAGGCAGAGGAGGGGGGGGGTATGGATGGCAGATGAAGAGTTTGGGTGGGGTGTCAGAAGCAGGACTCACCACCCACAGAGCTGCCACGCTCTCTGCTCCTCTGAAGCTCCCCTACCTGCTAATTTGCATCAGTAAACAAGCAGCTGATGACTTCAAAGTGTGGAGACCAATGAGGCCTGACACGGGAATGGACTTGTGTTTAAGTGTGTATGCAGGCGTGTGTGTGTGGTTTTGGCTGTTGATCTATTTTTTGTGCATATTTTGGTGTAAAAATAGTCCCATAATATTATCTATCCAGCACAAACAGCATCTATATCAGCTTTCAAAACACAAATCAGTGAAACCCGTGTGTGTATATCGGCGCACTGAAAAATCCATCACTGTGAATGTGTGTATACATGTTTCTTTGGATGGGCTGCCACCCACGGAGACATGTCAGGTAAATATTTGGTGGTGGGGGGAGGGGAGGGGGTTTCGTTGAAGTGTCCAGTGTCCAGAGAGGGCACATGCCATCTGTAAGTGATCCATCCACTCTAAACAGACATCTGATATGGACACAGACACCTGATCCTGCATTAGGACGCCTCTGAAGCTACGCAGTATCACAGCTCACCACAAACATCAACTTGAACCCGGGGGCCTCTCGCCAAATATCTGACTGGCTGTGTGTGGAAATGCAAATTCAAACTTGTGCACGTAGTTTGTAAAAGCGAAAAATCGGAGATACTTTACAAATGTGGGGAGAAAAGGTGAATTATGCCTTAAACGCTGGTCGTCCTGTGTAACAATATGTGTAGTTTAAATGTGTGCATGCATGCAAGAGTGTGCGTATGCGCATGAGGGATTTGTCGTTATCGATCAGAGGTGATGACAGGCCTCTCAAGGTGTGTTTTCCACAACAGGAGCACAGAATGCGGTCTAACCACAGGAGGGAAATGCATTTGAATATACCTGCAAACTGTAGCAGCCGGCTTGATAAACCAAGCAGCAGCAGTGATTCCTGACTACCTATTAAGCATCTGTTTTTATCCAGGTAAGACGATCTCTTTGAATCAGTGCCCCTCCCCAGGAGTCATCAATCTTACCTCCTGCTGTGTCAGAGGAGCTGTGAGGATTGTGTCTTGGTACCCAAATGCCCACCTCTCCCCCTGCCGTGCCAGGTGCTCTTACACCAGAAAACCACAAAGGGGAGCTACTGCTATTTCCAACCCCTATAATACGGACGCACACGTACACACATATATACACACACACACAGTTACACACATTCCTACTTTCTCCCTAGCCAAACATTCCCTTCAGTCAACCTGCTGCACAGGGTTCAGCACGCATCAGCAGTCAGGCTGGGAGGGAGGGAGGCAGGCAGCGATTTCAGTCTACGTGTATTGCATCTGCAGACTTTTGTTGTCAAAGCTAAAGCTGATAACAGATAAATAAGTGATTGCTTATTGTACTATTGATGATAACAGCAGAAAGGAATCTCACTGGTGTATAATCCTCTTAAAATAGACTGTAAAAATGAGATTTTCTTTGTTGTTGATGCAGTTAGGAAAATAATTTGACCTCTTATCGTCATATTGAATTTTTCCTTTGTGGGTTTAATACAGTGTAATGTCAAAAGGAGCTCATTTTCCTGCAGGATTCAAGGTTGCAGAATTTTAGTGGATAAAAACTTGGCTTATCAATTTTGATATGTAAATGAAATTAATGCATTTTTGAGTACCTTCAAAGAGGATTAAGAAAAGATCATTCTGGCTGATATCCAGAGAAATTCAGATTCTACATTTCAGAAAAAAAGGTTGATTTAAGAGAACTGTTGCAAAGGAAAAAATCACACAAGGAGAATAATATTGATGTCCAACCCTCTTCCTCTTACTCATATGTAAACAATCGTTGGTATCTAGGACAATGATGTCAGATACGGTAAGAGACATGCAGCAAGTGAAGACATGTTCTAATAAATATCATTACACTGAGGCTGGCTGAAAATATGCCAGTCTGTGAGGCACTCTCTGTGACTACAGTCAAGATTAATGAGCTGGGAAATTAAACCCAAACACAGGGACTATTTTTTCTCCCCGTCCACCTCACACTGGCGTTTAGGGACTCTTTGTATACGCCACACGGGAGGTTGCTGCAACATGTATGACGAGTAAGTTCTCTGCTGGCCTGCGCTGCTCGTCTGTCAGAAGGTCCACCCATATTTTGCATTGCAGAGAGGACAATAGGGGCCTGTGGAATACCTTTATGGAAGTACGGGTGAGGTCGAGGAATACGAGCGTAAATAACGGTGGAGACAAAACCGTGGCAGAAACACTCAGGATACTTGGAAATGGTTGCAAACACGTGAACGCAAATAAAAGTCAGACTATTGTGAGGATCCAAAGTGTGAAACTAGAAGTGTTGCTGATTAGTAATGACAGAAGCTTTTAAAGCAGGAATTTAGATTTTAAAACACCAAAGTTTTTGAATATCAGGGTTATAGTTCAAGGATTTATTTCAGCGCTTAAAAATTGTGGCTAATTAGAGGCGTTTGTTTTCCATGTTCTCTTTAATGAAAGCTAACATGGAAATTTTCCAATTATCTACATATTGAAGATCTATTTTAATTAGTTAATGATTTAGAAAAATGTCAAGACCTAATGACACATGGGTTTTTATGTATGCAAAACAAACAAATAATCACTTAAAGTCTTGGCTTTTCAACAGTAGGTTACTGTTTTTTAATAAAATACTATTTAAGAGCTAGCATTCACATTTTAAATAAAAGTAAATGCTGTGGATTTATAAAAGCACCAGATCACTGTTATTGAAGAGCATTAGTCAGTTATTTAGGTGAAAACACACAGCGTCCTTCTTCACAAGTTTCGTCACAGTCCGCTCAAACTTTTCTGATAACTGTAGGTTAACTTTTGAGCAATGAAAACACTTTTAATTTTTTTATTTTATTTTACCAATCCATTTAATATCTTTGAAATACTTAGGACAAATAAGTGTTTTCTATCCACCTTATAGGAAGAGTTTGAGATTAACCAACAAGTCAAAGTGTCTTTATCTCGCTCATAATGTCCTGTATGTTCAAACCGTACAGGCTCGTACTTCTAAATCAGAGTCAGCAAAATCAGCCAGAGAAGTTTCCATCCAAATATAAATTAATGATGATTTATCTCATTTTCTCTCACCAGTATGTTTTGGAGCTGAGCGTTCAACAGCTGAAGGAGAGGGAATGTTGCCAGGGTTCAGCACACCACAGTCCTCAGCTCATTTTGCTCGGTGAGTATTTAGTTGTTCGGTTTAAAAGCACTAATTTTATAATAAATCTTATTTTCTTTATCTTCTTCGTCTCATCTCTAAAAACTCTTTGCTCTTTTTTTAAATCTTATGGTCATAAATTAAATGGTTTTAACCTTTAAAGTAGAAAACACTCATTTGTGTAAGCTATGAATAGACTTGGCTAATTTGTATTGCGATTAGTGATAAGGTTAACTAAAACTGACGAGAAAAGTAAATACATTTTGATGAGTATATTTGTTTTGCAGGAATGTGTCATCTGACTGAAGAAAATTACCGGAATCTCTGCTGCCAGTATCCTTTTTTTTCCCCACAGCGCAGTAAAACTGGTTTAAAGTGGTTTCCAAAAATGATTTAGTGAAAAACTCTCCTGAAACCTCCAAGATCATGATTACTCTTGGTGTTCAGATGTACAGTATTATTTGTTAATGCAATTAATAATTTCTGTAAAAAAGTGCTTTTGTTTATGTTTGTAAAGTCTGAAAAGTTAAATTAATAATGTCCAGTTAAATATATTGTATTATACATGTGTCTGTTATTCAGTAAATAATTAAAAAATCATTGAAGTATTTCTTTAAATTGAAAAAGTTTAATAAAAAAAAAAGTGACAACCTTTATGACTGAAGTAAACAAAAAAATCTGACAGGCTATTCTACGTAACAGTTACAGAAATTAATCTTATATTTTTAGATACTGGAAAAATCGTACTTGGCATGTAGACCATAAAGAGATTATCAAAATGAATGGATTCCGTGGGTACATTCTTGGGCTTCTTCGAGACAATAGGAGAGGGAACTTTTTCATTACGGGCGCTGTAATCGCTGCTACTTTTGTTTTCCTTCAGCTCTCAAATGTTCTCGCCACCTTCAGAGCGGGCTAATGGATGCAGATGGAGGAAGTGTTTGACATTATGGACACAGCAGTGCTTGTTTTAGAGGAGCTGGTCATGTGGTCTGCCCTAGCAGGCCACACAGTACCCCCTTAATGTGACCCAGACCCCCCAGCCAACTCTAGGGGGTTTCAGGAACTGTCCGCTCTGGGGGACCAGAGTGTCAGTTTTGCCCCCCAGTGAACACAAGTCAACATGCCTTAATCCCCCCAACACCTAAAGTTACACTTTTGCTCTGCAATTAGCCAGCCGGCCTAATCTCCCCTGTTCCTCTCTGGGCTTCCTTTTTTTTCCCAGCCCTGACATGGAGCTCCGAAGTGGGGCTGTGGCCAGCCCGCAGAGCTCTGTGCTGGGACCCGAAGCTGCAGCTTGTGTTGCTGGTTTCCATGGCACAGTGCCGGTCCGGCCACATGCTCCCTCATCTTTCACTGTCACTGTGCAGGAGAGGAAGAGATCAAAACAAACATGTGGTGGCAGGGAGCGTCTGACATGATGAATCGCTGTAATCAGTATCAGACAGCTCACCAAGCGCTCTGATTGGTTGAGGCTGCTTTTGACAGGTTCTCTGAGTAAATGACAAAAGGCGCGGAGCAAGACCTGAGACCTGGAGCACAGACGAGCACCTTGAGCTGATTTCGATTCGAACACCAGTGAGCGAAGACTGCTGGTCATTCCAATCTTTGCTGAGCGTAAACATTTCAAGGTGGAGAAATATTTGCAACATGGAAGCCGGGTGTTCGGCGGGCGCCATGTCCATTATCAACTGGCCCAGAGCCATGCCCGCAGAAATGATGGGGGTGTAAATTCCAGTCCTTGGTATCGGCTCCTTTCTGCACATTGTTTACCTCCTGTGTGACTTCCTGCTTCTTCATCTTCGGAGAGGAGCACAGGAAGGCCCGATAGTCCCCACTCAACCCAAATCTCCCGTTCACCCAAACAAAAAGCCACATTGTAGCTCATTTTCCTGTCTCCTCTGCTCTGCATTTCCAGCCGGGGGTGTGGTAATGGCATTCCTCAAGGTCAGATCTCTGCCTGCTGCAGATCCCCTAATTTCACTGTTTGGGATAAGTGCGGGAGCTTTTCTAATGGACATGTAGGACACTTCCTGCCGCTGGGAAGAGGTGATTCTGATCCTTTTGGGAATCACCTCATTCAAAATCCACCCAACACCTTTAGCATTTCCAGCTGGAGTCGTACTGGAGGAATCATCATTTTCAAATCGATTTATTCGGCTCAAGCAGCAAAAATGCGAGGAGGATGTTACCTTTGCTGACCTGAGTGGTTTTAAAGGAGACCTGTTATACTCATTTTCACTTTTTATTATGTCTGGGACACCAATAGAGCAGCTTTGCATGATATTAAAAATTCCTCATTTATCTTTTTATACTAGCGCCCATGACAGCTCTCATTTTCACACTATTCGGTCTCCACTGTGGCTGCTTTTCCCCTGATATAAAGTTAGACACACTGTGTTGGTGTTACTTTTTACATAGCGTTTAGCCATAAAATGGCCCAAACTTTATGACTTTGCAGGAATCAACAGAGACTCATTATACCCATTATACTGTATGTTAACGATTATTAGGTCTTTATAATTTAGAGATGTTCCAACTGGTGGTGTCCTTCAATATTGTCATAACAGGACACGGTATTTTTGTTTTTGTAGGATGGTAGGAGAAAGTCCTGCCTCTTTCGCCTCTGATTGGCTAGAAAAGCTGGAAACGTCATCACATGCTCAAACCAAACGCGGGTTGTCGGCTCCGTACATCGAGCAGAACACTACAGAACATTATCGCACTTCTGAATCTCCTAACCCTAACCCGTACCCTAACCCGGCAGACGATGACGTTTCACAGCCATAAGAAATAACCAATCGGAGCCCAGCAGTTCTAGCCAATCAGAGGCGAAGGGGGGCGGGAGCTTCCACTGAATTCACTAGTAGGACAGGAGATAGTGTCACCTTGAGTCCAAGTCTGTGAAGTTCCCTGGAAACCCCACCTGGAGATTATTCAAACATCTGTTTAGCGTGTTTCTAACTTAGCAGAGTTTTAGTAAAGACATCCAACATCCACATTAGATTTTATGCTTATGTATTAAAACATCAGCGTGGTAGTTCTCCTAAAACCAGTTCGTTCACTCAGCTGGGACCTTTTGAAGGAAAGGTGCAGACTCTGCAGGCATGAGTATCACCTCTGCAAACAAAGTTATTAAATGCAGCGAGAGAGGGGAAACTGTTAATGGAATATGCACTCAACACAAACACTCATGCACAGTCAGCTTTTCTCTGGAGGCCTCTGGTTCAAGTTCACCAAAGCTTAGGCTGGTGTAGAGTGAACGAGCCAGGGTGGCTGCAGAGGGAAAGATGGAGCTAATGTTGTGGGGACGATGGTATAGAAGTATTTGGGGGCTGAGGGGTATGAGGTGGTGGTGGAGAGAGGGGGTTGCAGCCCTGAACCCCCTCTGCCAGAAACAACAAGCAGGCCTTCTCATATTCAAATAAATACCAAGCCAGTGGGGAGCATGGAGGGGTTGCAGATAAGGAGGAGGAGAGGGGCAAAAGCCAGACTGGAGGATGGCTTCTCTGCTACACTGAAGCCTTTTTAGGATCACAGGCTCGGCTGAGAAGAGCAAAGCAGGCAGTGACAGATTTATAATGAGTGCAGACTTTGCCCTTGCATTTAATACCGGGCTTAAGATGTATTAGACAGACAAAGGCCGTGGATCCTGTCTGGGAAGAAGAAAGGCCTTAATTAATTTGGGAGATCACGGAGGCCCCGGGCCCACATCATCGGTTCTTTGTGGCAGGAATGCCAGCTATTTACCGGCGCTCCAATAGGGCTGCGGGGAGAGGCAAGGTGATGACGACTGGGGCCGCTGTGCAACAGATAGGGAACGGATACTTTTCAAAAGCTAAAAGCTTCCCAGTTTTAAAACAAAGGCAGGAGGGAAAGAGAAGAAGTGATTTTGAAAAGAGATCTGACTCAAAGCACGTCCCCTCCCCTCCACCACCATTCCTACGTCTTACACAGACATTCCTAACTGTTTTTGCTCTCACCGTCACTCCAGGAGAAATTTAACTCGATTCAAACTGATAGTGACTCTAAAAGGATTATTCACAATCCTCGGAGGCAAAATAGTTTCTCACATAATACAAATAAATATAATCGCATATATTCCCATTTTCCAGCCCAACTCTACCAGAGATCAGAGTGTATTTACAGTAGCGTCTTCGTAGTCAGGTGATAAATCCTTTTACAGTGTTGCTTCAGGTGCGATTGAGCTGAAGGGAGCGGCTTATCGAGGCCGGCCTGCAGCAGCCAGGGTGAGCCTGTTGAAGGGCACAGTTGGCAGCTGTCAGGCCTATATTGGTTAACTCAGAGAGGACATGTGGAGAGAGGAGCTTCCTTCCCAAAATAAACAAATAGCAGTGGCACACATCTTCCCAGACAACTGCAAAGGGGGGGTGGGAGAAAGTGAAAACTGTGTTGATCCTTCTTTGTTTCTGTATATTTCTGCAAGGATGCTTGGGTAAATAGACCAGGTAGTGAAGCTGTCAAATCTCAGAATCCATCACGACTAAAAGGAAAATGTATCCGACAAGTGTGTTTCATCTATTGCACATTATCGGATAGTGTTTAAACTAAATGCAGGATAATTAAAGTCAAATTAAAGGGAACATTTTACAGTATTTTTTAAAACACGACTCCATCGCGGTGTTGTAGTGTTCTCTCTGAACCTCGTTGGTCCTTCCTCTGAGAATTTTAAGAGGAATTATAAAGAATAAATAACAAAATGAGTAATAAAAGCTGAGGTCTGCAGCCTGTTTCCCATGTTTTAACAATGTGTGGGAATATATGTTGGAATTTGCCTGCAACAGACACTTGGGAATCATGATTTTCACCTTTGGTCAGCCATTGTGTTCATTTCCATTGTGTTTTTTCTGCACATGTTCTCTTATGATGACCCCCAAAATACAAAGAGAACAGGGCTGGACGGGAAAAACACATTTATATGCCAACGAGGAAATGTGTTTGGCCTTTTTTGCCTCCTTTTTATCAAAAAACTGTGACATCTACAATAAGATAATGCAATAACTCACTCAGTTAGGACAGCAGAATTACTACAAAATTGCTCCTAAATATATAAATAAACTGTTAGAAAAATCACTGATGGCCAATATGGAAACAGATCCTCTTATTCTCATAGGAGCTCTGTCGTAGCAGCACTTATTATTACTCTCTCTGTTGTAGTGCTTGGAGGGATTAGTGCACCATGGTCGCCTTTATGCATGAGTGGAAACCTTTTAACTGACGGTCTGTAGACATCTGTGGCACAATGTGAGCACACGTGCATCAACCATCACAACTAGCGCCTCATGGGGCACCAACAGGCCCGAGCGGTGTCGCGCTGCTACCTCTGTAAACCATCTCCCCAATGCGCTGCCACCATTTCACACAGCAGCCCTAACCTTTATGATGGTTGGTACTTGTGACTGCCTTTGAATGTTGTAGGTCATTTCCTGTGAAAAGACATCAGATTCTGAAAGGACGTCATGGCCATGCCCTTTGACCTTAACATGATTTTTGGATATGGTCTTCTTCAAGGTCTATCTAACAGACAGGAGGAGAAACAACATCAAATCTGTCAATGGTGCGCTATGGAGGAGGCCATTTGTACGCTCTTGCAAAAAGCCCTTCTTGTGTTTGAGGGCACGCCGTCGAAAAGTGCATTCCCCTCTGCCACCAATTGGTGCTACAACAAACGGATGTAAGTTTGGTGTCAAAATGTCCAGTGCTGGATCGTTATCAAATAACTAAAACCTGGTGGAGGTGAAACAGTATGATGAAATTATCATATTATCGTATGAAAAAAATCACAGTCAAATGTTATAAAAATATAATAGTATAGTATGTTAAAAATATAAAGGTATAGCATGATAAAAATGTCATGATATAGTATGATAAAAATATATAATAGTATAAAAAAATGTCATAGTATAGTATGATAAAAAATATTGGTATAGTGTGATAAAAATAATGTATAATAAAAATATCAGTGTATTCAATAAAAATGCCATAGTATAGTATGATAAAAAATATCTTCTAGTATGAGAAAAAATGTTATAATATAGTTTGATAAAAAATTTCATGGTATAGTATAATAAAAAGGTCATAGTATAGTTTAATTTAAAAAAAGTCATATAATGTGAAAATAAAGTATAATTACAATATCAAAGTATAGTATGATAAAAAGGTTATAATAATAGTGCATCAGATTTTATAGCACTTTATCAGAGACCCTCAAAGTGCTTTACATTGGATACACCATTCATATACTCATACAGTTACACCCTGGTGATCGTAAACTACCTTGGTAGTTAATTCCATTTCTGTTTGTTTCTTCTTTTTACTTCTATTGCACTAAAATGGAGAAGCTCTCCAATCTTGTTGTACTCCAGTATAGTGACAACAAATGGAATTCTGATGCTGATAGTCATAACTGCCCTGGGGCAGACTGATGGAAAGTGGCTGCCAGTTTGCACTTTCAGCCTCTCCAACTACCACTACACAACACTAACGTTCATACACCGGTGGAGGACACATACTGGAAGCAAGGTGGGTTAAGCAAGGTGGACAGGACGGGGATGGAACTGCCAGCCTTCTAGTTAGTGGATGACCACTCTACCTCCTGAGCTACTACCGTCCTATTGTATTAAAGTATGAAAAGAAAATATCATACTATAGTAAGATTTTAAAAAATCAAGGTATAGTATGATTAAATGTCATAGTATAGTTTCATAAGAATGTCATAGTATAGTATGAAAAAAATGTTTGTACA